CGGCCAGTCGATGAATTGCAGTTTTAGTCACTTCCGTGTTGGTTTCACAAGAGAGACCGGAAGGTTGCCGCTTGGACACGGCATCACAATATGGTAAGAGCTTAACATTTCCGTCTCACGCTTGAGGTATTCGGCCAATCACAATGCACTGGATAGCTGGCCAATCAGAGCACACCTTGCTTTTCAGAACAATAAACTTTGTAAAAATAGACTTGTTTCAGAAAGGCGGGGCATAGAGGAGAAACAATAATGTACAGTATGTGGAAAATGTGTTTTTTGAACCTTAAACCGCATAAACACATTTCATTACACCAAATACACAAAATAAAGTTATTTTTAGCAACATCATATGACCCCTTTAATCTAGCAAATTAAGCATTGTTTTTTGTCATTCATATACAGCTGCCTGTGAAAGGAGCAGATGATAAAATGCTACACGTTCATACTAAAAACCTAACATGTTAAAGTACTTTGTCTAAATTTCAGGTTAAATGAATATCACAACATATAAGGTATATAAATAGCCTATGTATCATTGTTGAATTACCAGTAAACTATTTGCCTAAAGATTAGCTCTTTCCAAAACGGTATGATTTTCTTTCTTTTGTAGAGCATAAATGAAGATAAACGGTAGCTGTGGCGTCAGATTTATGGGTTAAGATGTGCCAGTGGCTACTAAAAGTAACATCTCCATTAATCAAATACTTTAACTCTTTTAAGAAAATGTGAATAATGTGCTTAAAAATAAAACTTCGGAATGAGACTGCTTGTTATTAAATAGTTTTTTGTACATGTCCTTTATATTTGTATTTTATTTGCAAGTAAATCGTTCACTTACTCCTCAGTGACTCAATGTACCTCGTCCTCTTGCTTTTTTCGTAAGACCGTATTTCTGTGGCCCAGAGTTAGTTCTTCTGTGCGCTTTCTGCACAATTCTTTCAAAAGCACATTTATTGAATTATGTTTCATTTTGTTATAGATTTAGACTGCAATATTGATGTTTGTGTAGTTTTTAGTTAGTAGTGCAGTGAATTACCTTATGGCCCAAGTGTATTCTATTTCCAATCCAATAAAACTATTTTCATATTTACTTTACTGGATGTTAAATTGTATTCACACATCATTTGTGTATTATACCATTGGCGAATGAGACCTGAATGGCTCATATATTCATGAGTTCATTGATGTAATTGTCCATCTACTGTAAACATCAAACGGTTTGTCCATTAAGTACGTGCGCAGATGCACATTTCCCCTGCTGTTTGCACTATCCTCTGTCTCTGTGGTCTTTATGCCTTTTCTTAATGTGCACCACAGAAACTTGAGCAGCTCAATCAATACCCGGACTTCAACAACTACCTGATATTTGTGCTCACAAAGCTAAAGACAGAAGGTAAGATGTGCATGTTGCCATTAATTGATTGTATTACACTTGATTTATAATTTTAATTTGAGATGTGACTTATTCAGGACTAATATGGTTATGTGATTTGTTCATTAGGGATATCTGGGGTCACTTTAATTTAAAAACTTTTAGTGTGTGATGGCGTCAGTGAATATAACCCTTTAATTTGTATGTAGACATATTGTGTGATGGGAGGGATTGCAAGTAGGTGCAGGATATTGCCTGTTGTCGGTCTGCATTGTGGTTCATTGCAGTTTATGAGGTTTGCCATGATAGTTTTGTGTAGTATATTAAAGGGTTAGTTCAGCCAAAAATAAAAATTAGGCTGTGGACGGAAGGAATGCAACACCCGCTGAGTACAACGATAGAGCTTGAAAGATCAAAGACAATTTTTAATATAACTCCGACTGGATTCGTCTGAAAGAAGAAAGTCATATACACCTAGGATGCACCGGGGGTGAGTAAAACACAGCCTAATTTGTATTTTTGGGTGAACTAACCCTTTAAGAGAAAATCGTATATTCCAATTACTAGAAGAAATGGATCAGATACAAGGGGAGGGAGTTGAGGCGAGCAGAAGGTAGTGTTTAGTCTCAATCGTGTTTTCTGAAGCCAGTGGCTGTATAGCTGCTGTGACTTCAGGTCAGTGGTAATCTGTCAAGTGCACTGGGAGCTTAGCTGCACTGACCTTTTGAATCTGTGTCCTCTGTCAAGCCCCAGGTCACAGAACGTGTTTAAAAACAACACTAGTTCATCTACCAATGTTTCTCTCTCTTTTTCCCTGAATTAGCCTGAGGTCCATTTAAAAACGGAAGTTTCTTTATTAAGCATCCACCAAATTAGTTCAGAGCTCAACAATAAAAATTATTTTCCAGTGTGGGCTGTAGATTTATTTATTTTAAGCAAATAATTTTTGACTTTAATTTTTTTCAAACAGCATTTTTGTAAGTGTCAAAAATCTGTCCAACTGATGTATAATACTGTATAATATAATATAAACACTAGATCAGTTCAGGGCTCAACAGTAAGATCTTTTTTTTGTGGGCTGCAGTTTTATGTATTTCTCCAAATGTACCGTATTGACATGTCAAAGTCTAGACCCTGAATATAAGACGACCGCGTTTTTTCAGATGTATTTCCAAGAAAAAAATATCGTCTTATATTCGGAACAATACGGTATTATTTTTTTACTTGTAAACATTTTTATAGGTATTATATTTATATTTATATTATACGAAACAGATTTATTTAAAAACAGAATGTTCTTTATTAAGCATCCACCAAATCAGTTTAGGGCTCAACAGTAAGATTTTCTTTTTTATCTGTGGGCTGTGTTTGTTTTGTTTGTTTGTTAAAATAACATTTTATTGGTGTCAAATATTGTATTATATTATATAATTATATTATTTATGATAGAATTATATTATAAAAACAGATGGTTCAAGTTTGTTTTGCTATTCGGCCCGAATCAGTTTTCTAAAGTGTTTTTGAAAAATCACATACCCTGCCTTTAAGCATCCACTAACCTGTTCAAGGCTCAAAAGTAAGGATTTTCCCCCCCTGTGTTGGGCTGTAGATTTATTACATTTTTTTTTATTTGTATTTTATTTTCAAGCCATTTTTAAAGCAACATTTTTTGGAATTGACAAGATTGTTGTCATTACATAATTTCATCACATTTAAGGTTGTATTATTTTATCATATTTTTGTATAAGTGTGGCATTTTAAATACTTTTGTATTTGCATTCTTGTAGTATTTGCAGTATAGCTTTTTCTGTTTATCCCTGTGGTTGTTTGAATCTTTCTTTCTTTCCTTTAATGCTGTGTCTTGTGCCCAGGGCTATATTTTCTACCCAAGCTTTTTATCCTTCCTTTCTCATAGATGAGGCCACTCGTTCTCTCAGTGGTCTCATTTTGAAGAACAACGTTAAGGCCCATTACCAGAACTTCCCAAACGGTGTGTCTGACTTCATCAAAAATGAGTGCCTGCAAAACATTGGAGACTCCTCACCGCTCATTAGAGCCACAGTGGGTGAGTATGGACCGACAAAGCATTTTCTGTCTGGCTCTGAGCCACAGCTTTTGCCATCATGACAAACAATATTATGCCTTTGGGGTCTGTGTCTGGCTTTGTGTTGTTGCTTTCGATGTAAGATCATTTATTGACTCTATGTTCGAGAATACACAGTGTGTTTTTTTTAAATTAGCCTTTTGTGATTGTGATTAGACTGTAATGAGGAATGCAGTGCTCTGTTTCTGTGGTTACTAGGCATCTCACAAAACAGCATAATATATATCGTTTCTCCTCTTTTTGTTTATTTGGTTTGAAATTTTTATTTATTTTAATTAATATTTTCCCACACAGTGATGAATATAGTGAAAACCGAGTATAATTTGTCCACATATTATGATGTTTTGATAGAATATGATATCAAATTTGCCATAACAGCTTGATTTTTGTGTAAACGGTTGTTTCTGGCAGTTGGTTATGTGAACTGCAGTATAGGCTGGTCTGAATGGTGCATTATTGTGCATATGTTTGTGTTCCTCAGGTATTCTGATCACAACTATAGCTTCTAAAGGGGAGTTACAGAACTGGCCGGAGCTTCTACCTAAACTTTGTTTACAGCTGGACTCAGAGGACTATAATACTTGTGAAGCGAGTCCCCATGAGTCTGTGTGTAGTCAGGTTTAAGTCCCCACCAGGTTATATAAACCAGTACACACACACACACTTTCTGATGTCCTTTCTCTCCTCTCTCATGTTTCTTCTCATCAGTCTCGCATTATCTCATGTTTCTCTCTCTTTGTCCCTCTAAGTGGAGCTGTGAGATGATGCATGTTGCTGACTCATTGTCTAAAACTGTAGTGTAGGCCTAGTTCAAAGCTTCATCATCTGAGCCCTCGGCAGTACAATTGAGGTTTGGTTATATACTTGTGTTGCAACATACCTCCACAAGGATGTTACTCTGCTTGGCATGATGTAATAGGAATTTACATCATCAAAGTGTGCTCATCAAACTGTTTTTTTTTTTTTATATATACATCGTTGATTTAGTTGGATTGTTATTTGTCTGGATATTTGGTTTAATGTTTTGCTGAAGTTTGTTTCATGTAATATCTTAATTTGGATAATTGTTTAATTAACGTAAAATATTTGTAAAGTAATTACAAATCTTGGATCAAAATTGGACTCTTTATTTTCATAAAACTTGTAGGTGTTTTCACAACATTGGAATATAGTCACAGCTGACGCGCTAATGTCCACTGTACAGCACAGCCTTATTAAATGGTTACTGCAATCATTTTCAAAAGTTTGTGGTCAGTAAGCTTGACTGATTGATTGATTTTAAGAAAATTATACTTTGTTATTCAGCAAGGAAAAATTACATAATCAAACGTAACAGTAAAAACATTTAGTGATATTACCAAGATTTCTATTTCAAATAGATGCTGTTCTTTTTTACTTTCTATTAATCAGAATTACTGTAATTGAATTTGCTAAAATGTAAATAAGTTCTGAGAGCACGTAAATGCTTATACAAGTTAAAACTCACTGATTTGTCCTTTCATAATTGGGTGATAATAATATTGATAATTCTGACATAGTGTGGCTGTGAATGCACCATATATCCTATATTTTGCACTGCTAAAATGCTGTATTGACCAGTCAGAAGCTACAACTGGATCAATCAGTTTCATAAATTTGGAATAACAATATATGCATCATTTAGTCTAGTAATGTGGGCAAAGGCAACAAGTCCTTAAAATAGCCATTTAATTCCAGAGTGCTTTGTAGTCACTAGAGGCTGTCCAGTGTTAGTATATTAAAAGTGTCTATCTTTGAACCATTATGTGTGTACTCTGAAAATGAATGGTTTGTCTTAAAGCTGAAATGAAGAAAACACTGACCACGTTAAGTGCCCGTGAGTTTAAAAGATGTGCTATATAAAAAAACATTATCATTCTTAAAGGGATAGTCCACCCAAAAATGAAAATTCTGTCATTAATTACTCACCCTCATGTCGTTCCAAATTCATAATACTTTTGTTCATTTTCAGAACACAAATTAAGATATTTTTGATGAAATCCATACATTTTTGACCCTCCATAGACAACAATGTAACTTAACCCTCCATAGACAACAATGTAACTGAAATGTTCCCAGGCCCAGAAACGCAGTAAAGACATCGCAAATAGTCCATGTCCATCAGTGGTTCAACCTTAATTTTATGAAGCTACGAGAATACTTTTTGTGTGTAAAGAAAACAAAAATAACTACTTTATTCAACAATTCTTCTCCCCCGAGTTACCATCTTCTGCCATTAATGAGAATACCACAACGAAGGCCTTACGGGTTTGGAACGACATAAGGGTGAGTAATTAATGATAAAATTTTTGAATGAACTAACCCTTTAATATTATTATTATTTTATATATGTACATTTGGAGACAAGTTTCACACCCCACTGTCATTATCTACACAGTAACAGTAGCATCCATTTGGATAAATCTGTTTTGCTGATGCAAGCATGTAAAACTCCTTGAGCCCTGAGCATCTGGACTCAAGGCTAAGAAGGTGAAGTCTTGGCGTTAGATCAGTACATATACCTGTGCACACACAAACCTATCTCTGGTTTGATGTTACAAGTTAGGTTTGAATTTTGGAGGTTTGGCTGGTAAAATACGGAGCTGATTTGTAAACTTTGTGTGGCTATAAGTTCTACAACTTCCGAGGCAGTGTTTTTGTTTGGGTTGAGCAGGCATACAGGGCCGTGAACCCTGGTTAACACACGTCATCTTGAGATGTTACTTTTATGTTCCTTTTATTTAGTAGTTGAGTAAATTCTGTCTCATACACCAACACAGGAACAAAGAAACTGAACTCGGAGTGTGTGTGCAGTACAATGCTCTGCACTCTGTGACTGCGAGACTCTTGAGCAGGCTTGTTAACACAGATTGAGGTCAGTTATTTTCTACTGTGGAGATCAGATGTGATCACAACTGATCATAGACACGTCTAGAGATGGTGCACGCTTTGACTGTCACGTCCTTCTCCTATACACAATGCTCTTCAGAAGTGCCCATTGAAAATCTGAGTGAATGTGACCAGTTTAAACCTGTAAATTAAGCTTTATGATTTTGAAATGTTATGACATAAAAAGAGGAATAGATAATAATAATAATAATAATAATTCATTACATTTATATAGCGCTTTTCTAGGCACTCAAAGCGTTTTACATTGTCAGGGGGTATCTCCTCATCCACCACCTCATCCACCAGATATGTAAAATTTCGCACAATTTTTAGGTTGCTAATCAGATGTAAGCAAATTAGTGCCATTTACTGTAAACTGTAATTTCCCCATAAAGGAGGATGTTCCAAATACCAAGATACATTGAAATTGTTTTAAATTGTCTCAATTCAGATTGTAATTTGATCACATAATTTATGTAAAAATTATTCAAATTAGGAAACCCCACAGAATAGTTGCACGTCTGAGTCCCATAGTGTATGTATACATTTTTATTTATTTATTGTTTTTTTAAACTACACACTACTATTCAAAAATTGGGGTCAGTAAGATTTTTTTTGTTCATCTTTCTGTTCATCAGGGAATCCTAAAAAATGACCATGGTTTCCAAAAAATACATAATTTAATTTGTAAAAACAATTCACAGTATTAGTGTTTTTACAGTATTTTGAAATGAATAAATAAATATAGTTTTGGTGAGCAAAAGAAACCTCTTTCAAATCTTGCCTGTAGTGATTGGCAATTCCTCAGACAGCATGTGGTATGACTACGTAGAATATGTGTCTATAACTATCTTCAAATGGCATGCTGAGTAAGAGAATCATAAGTCAGTCCTCTAAAGCCATGAATGCTCACCTCTAGCTCAACTGTTTGTAGCATGCTGAGTGCCAGGTCAGAGACATTACAAGGGGAAGAAGATGGACCACTCATAGATAAATGATTAGGAGAAATGTTAAGGTCCTAATATGGTCACAGTAGGAATGAAATTCTGCCATAGTAGTTAATTTGCCCTAGAATGTGCATTAATTGTATATGTCTGAAAATTACTTTATTGTAGTGTTATTTAGTCTAAAATTTTTTAGATTTAACACTTTTGGATATTTCAGTCTTTGTCTTTTCAAGTTCAAGTAGATGTGCTTGTATACCTATTACCTACATAGAAAATACATTAACAAGGAGCATTAGCAAGATTGAACTGACTTGGCTTGAAGGAACTTTGAACAAGGTCATGAGTTTAATTCTGAAGACACATAAGTGGTAATATAAGCAGCAAACAACTTAGCTGTGTGTGTGTGTGTAAAAAGGAGAAAGCATCCATCCACCGCTGTGATCCTCTGGTTTGGTTGTGGTATGTGGGTCATCATATTGCCATATGAAGTCTGCAGAAGTTGAGAGACATTTCCAGAATGTCAGGGATGACTCTTTTTAGCTTGGGCATAGAGTGGTTTTCCTCCCTGTAATGAGTTTAATTTGCAGGGATGACGTATGTTATCTTGTTTATATGTTTAAGATGTTCCTGAACTTTGAATCATAGTTTATTGCCTTAAAGTGGCCACAGCCCACACTGGCCGATATATGAGCACACTGGTGCGGAAATGCATATGAAAGTGATGGTAATTACTGATGTGTTTGTTGTACAGCTGGTCCGACCAAAGGCCATTGTTTGTTGTCAAAGATTTTTTTTCTAAATGGTTGCTTATAAATTAAATAGTAATCATGCAATTAATTTCAATATTTAAAGGGGTGGTTTAATGGTTTTTTTCTAGGCTTGATTGTGTTTATGGGGTGCAGTCTAACGTCCCTACCAGCCGTTTTTGTAGACATTAAACTATTTTAAAAGACAATATCTCCGTTTGCATTGATCTTTCAGCTTCATAACTTTGCAGATATTGTTTATGCTCAAACAGCAACATTACACACTAACTAACGTTAAAAAAGTGAAATTGCATGACAATGAAAATCCTATAATGATAATCCTTTAATGAAATCCTAGACAATGTCTTTGCATTTGTATATATGGACAAATGCAATTATAGATATAATAGATATATTGATACATAGATATATAGATACATATGTAGATACATATATGTGTGTGTGTGTGTGTGTGTATGTATGTGTGTGTGTGTGTGTGTATATATATATATATATATATAGATAGATAGATAGATAGATAGATAGATAGACTGATTAGCTGTTGTTATAGTCTGTAGTGTTTTGACTGGAGGCTTCCTCTTGTTATTTTCTCTAAGCTCTCTAGCTCAAAATGTGCCATCTCCAACCAAGTGCAAGCTGACAGTGGAGACAGTTGCCATAGCGACAGCCGAGCCAGACAGCTCGTTGCCACGGCGCCGTTTGTGCTCGTGACCTGATTAGATTCCTTACAGGTGGAATGTGTGTGTGATCAGGAGGAAGCTTGATGTGTTGGGTGGGTCCCTCTGCTGCAGGGTCTGGCTTTGGCATTGTTCTCCATCAGATTCTTTTTGGTGATATTTTGTGGCAGTGAATGCTATATTTACATTACATTTACATTTATTTGGTTAGCAGATACTTTTATCCAAGTTGACTTATAAATGAGCAATGCAATAAGCAGTTAATCTTAAGAAAGCACTAGCAATTCTAGGTTTCAAATATTGTCCAGAAAAGTTTTTATTATTTATTAAGTTTTAAATATATTATGTCTGACATAGTATATTTTATTTACTTCATAGATGAAAATTTGTGATGGTCATCAGTTAAAAAAAACTTGAACTAATATATACAGTGTATAGTTAATAGTAGTACTAGTACTACTAGTTTTGATATGAACTATTATTGTCTCTATATGTGTATTATGTAATGAGGCTATGAACCTGTTTTGTAGGCTCATTGCCAGACCTGTAGTGCCTACTGAACAGATTACTGACCAAGAAACCCACATTATTCCTGTGACAATTTCAGTTATTACCTTGAGCATTTATTTCCTGTGTCTATTAAAGGGATAGTTGACCTTCAGTTGGTCCTCATTGACTTGCATAGTGTTTTTTTTTCTCCATACTATGAAAGTCAATGGGGACCAGCAACTGAAGGTCAACTATCCCTTTAAAGGCAGGGTATGTGATTTTTCAAAAACACTTTAGAAAACTGATTCGGGCCGAATAGCAAAACAAACTTGTAGCCAATCAGCAACAAGGGGCGTGTCTACTCGTGATGTGGAGGAGAGAGTTTTCAGTGCATGGGACGGACATTAGCCGAGCCGAGCGACAGAAAGATAGAGATGGCAGATAAAAAAACAAAAGAGGAAAACGTCTGCAGAACGATAAGGCAAGAAGTAGGACCCATGTAAATATCGGATCAGCTTTCCAGCGCCGGAGAGAACTCAAGGACCGAGGCCTGCGATCGGACACCAAGGTTGCTTTGTTTCTTCTCAATAGGTGAGTAACACCGTGTCTACAACAGCTAAATGGATAGCTGGCCAATCACAGCATACCTCGCTTTTTCAGACCGATGAGTTTTGTAAAAATCGACGCGTTTCAAAAAGGCGGGGCATAGAGGAGAAACAATAATGTACAGTATGTGGAAAATAATGTGTTTTTTGAACTTTAAACCGCATAAACATTTCATTACACCAAATGCACAAAATAATGTTCTTTTTAGCAGCATCATATGACCCCTTTAAATTAACCTACAGCTGTTTTTGTCTGTCTGCTTTGCATTAAATCTGCATGTCACCTGCAGTGTACACAGTCCATGAGCCAGCTGTTAGCTTGAGGCAACGGCAAAAGTATTCTACTTAATTTTTTTCAGCAGCTCTGGCTGCACGTCAAGCCAAAAATAGAAATGGACTGAAGGCCTCAGTGTCACTGTGTGACAGTTACGACTGGTTAGGTCAGTTTGATAGATTGTTATGGAAGTGTTCTAGATTAAAAATGTGAGGTTGTTCAGTGAGAAGGGGAAATATGTATGATTTGTCTGTGTTACATTCCTGATGTGTTTGTCTTTTTAGGGGGCTTTTGGAGCTCTGCAGAAGATCTGTGAGGACTCCGCTGAGATCCTGGACAGTGACATGCTGGACCGACCACTCAACGTGATGATCCCCAAGTTTCTGCAGTTCTTCAAGCACAGTAGCCCCAAGATCAGGTAAGATAAACCTGCGTTCCTTAATGGAGCACAAGTGTTTGAAACAGTGAGGAAATGTTACTTGTAACTAATTCATTTAGACAGGAAATGTCATGACATCAGATAGGGGTGGGTGATATGACCAAATTCTTATATCACGATATGAGTCATTTTATTTCACGGTAATGATATATATCACGATATAGTTAGTTTTGCTTGAAATAAGGTCTTTATGATATCAAAAATTTTGATACCATAGAAATTTCATAATTCTTGTCACCAGCGTCAGTATCACAAAAAAAGAATACGATCTTAAATTTAAAAAAAAAAAAGTTCACTGAAGACAAGTAAAAAGTCAGTGATTAAATAAGAATAAGAAACAAATTACAAGCAATAGGACAAAAAGTTACTTAAGTGATTTAGTCAAGAGCAGTGAAAAATGTTAACATGAAAGTCAGACAGCAGGAATATTAAACTGCTGTCACTTTAAGAGCTGCACGGATCCAATATACTGTTAAACGTGTTTTCTTTCTCAGCTTTTTGCTTTCACTTATGACCTTAATTACTGTGTTTATGAGGATACTTGCAAAAACGGGCATTTTTACACATACGAGTGTGTGTATTTAACTGTCTATTTAACTGCTTTTGTCACGTGAGCATGTAACCACTAGAGAAGAAAGTCCAAAATCTTTACCAGTTGGCAAATTCCTACCGGTCAATCGTGTCTACTGGAATATCGCCCACCCCTAATATCAGATTTTCACTTTGTTTTCCTTTTGTGTGTGTTTGACCTTTTTTGGCCAATGAATCACACTCAAAATACAAGTGTAGGGAGGCAGAGAGAGAGTTTGTGACCATAACTACACAAAATGAACTCACTATTGATCAGGGCTTCCTGCAGACTGGAGTGCTTAACACCACTGATCTATAATAGTCATTATACTGTATATAGATCAGTGGTTAACACCCTGTCTTTTTTCAAATTCCAAAAAAGTTCCAACACTGCATCTTGATTTTGTCTGTTATCTCCTCCAACATGATTTTGTGTGGCAGTAGTAGCTGCACGCTGTTGTCGTCGTCGACTTTTTCCGTTTTAGGATGAGTAGCGATGCAAAACCACCAGCTACTCTGGTCCATACAGTTTCTAGTGCTGCACCGTTTACAATATAATCGTATGTGTAGTATTAACATTATATCGATAATTAATTTTTCAATATCACGGTTATTGTCAATACCAGTATATTGTGACCACCCACTACTGGGTACTACTACTTGCTGAGCAGTTGTTCAGACTTGTTTGATAGATGTATGGTGCTTGTTGTCTGTTGTAGGTCTCATGCCATTGCCTGTGTGAACCAGTTCATCATCAGCAGAACACAGGCCCTGATGTTGCACATAGATCCTTTCATTGAGGTACCATCTATAAAACCGGCCACCTTAATAGGATGTTCACCCAAAAATAAAAAATCTGTTATGATTTACTCACCCTCATTATTCTAGATCCCAGAATTGTGATGCCAGTTTAGAGGAAGTTGTGTCATTGTTTAGTTTGAGAAATGAAAATGTTTTTTAAATGTATGTAAATGTCTTTGTGCCACAGAACCTGTTTGCACTGGCAGGTGATGAGGAGCCTGAAGTGAGGAAGAATGTGTGTAGAGCTTTAGTCATGCTCTTGGAAGTCAGATTAGACCGTCTCCTTCCTCACATGCACAACATCATTGAGGTTAGATCATGCCTTCTGCAACCCCTAATGTAACTAAACTTTATTACATGATTGCTGAAAGTAAGAACCTTGTTCTTGATTTATCTACTGTCTTCTATAGCTTAGTAAATGTTTTTTACTAAATGTGGTCAGATCACAGAGAGGCAAAGTGAAGCAACAGCAGCCTCTTGTGGACTTTCTTTAACTGGTTTGGTAAAAGTAGACTCGGTGAGCCTTCATGAAACACAAGCAAAATTAATTACTGTACATAAAAGTATCATGTTACATTCAAGGTTTTTTTTTTGTGTGTGTGAAAATTACTTTTTGAACAGTTTGCACAAAAATACGCTCTGTTCATGTTTCATGAATAAGGCCCGATGTTTTTATACTCACAACCTCTTTTCTGTTTTTCAGTACATGTTGCAGAGGACACAAGATCAGGATGAAAATGTCGCTCTGGAGGCCTGTGAATTTTGGCTCACACTTGCCGAGCAGCCTGTGTGTAAGGAGGTTCTGTGTGGACACCTGCCTAAGTGAGCTTGTGCAAACACACAGTGTCCTTTTGATTAAAAGAAAAAAATATCAACTCGTGTAGATGCATTTAATTATAATACAGTTCAGCAACAGGACAAAGCTGCTTATTTGATTATTATCAGGATCGGTCATGAGTTTTTCTTTTTCTTTTTGTCACAGATTGACACCCGTTCTTGTGAATGGAATGAAGTACTCTGAGATTGACATAATCCTGTTGAAGGTCAGTTTCTCTATCTGGTTCTAAAGCTTCTTTTTGATATGTTTTCATATGCCACCCTAAACATAAAAAATAAAGTAAAACATACTAAATAACAACTGTGATTTGAGTTCATACACACAGCGCACAAGTGATTTGGTTACAGTGCTCAACCGCATAAAAAAACAACAACATATTGTCGATTTGTTTACATTTGTCATATGCAAATTAATAGCTTTTTATTTTCCATATCTCAGCCTGTCTTTTAGAGAGTTATAAAGTACCTATTTAGCTAAATAAATACAGAAAGCATTATTTCAAGAATACATTAGTATTTTAGATTTATTTTGAAAGCATGTGATGCAGAAAAAGATGGCAGAAAAAAAACTAATTATAGGTTTATGCCAAACAAGTTTTGAAAACATTTGTTAATGATTTCCAGGGTGATGTTGAGGAGGATGAAGCAATCCCGGACAATGAGCAGGACATTCGCCCCAGGTTCCATCGCTCACGCACTGTGGCCCAACAACACGAGGGGGGAGACTCCATTGAGGAAGATGATGATGAAGATGATTTGGATGATGATGAAACCATCTCAGATTGGAACTTGAGTAAGAAACGGTGTTTAAAAATGACACAGACTCAGCCAAGTCCTTGACTTCTTTAAAATGCATGTACAATGAGACATTTGCTGTTGTCTTCATTATTTTTTTTCTGGTGTGTGTGTGTAGGGAAATGTTCTGCAGCTGCACTAGATGTCCTGGCGAATGTTTTCAGAGATGATTTGCTTTTGCATATTCTTCCTTTACTGAAAGAACTACTGTTCCATCCAGAGTGGCTTATTAAAGAGTCTGGCATACTTGTACTGGGAGCCATAGCTGAAGGTATTCAAAAATTTCCCATGAATGCATTATATAATTCATTCATTGCATAAGCATTAGGATTCAAAATGGGAAACTTGGATATACCTACGTTTGCAGTTTTTGTATTTGAAGTTCATAACAGTATTTACTTAAAACAGAAATGTGGTAACATCATAAATGCTTGAATGTCATGTTTAATCCATTTAGCGCATCTTTGATGAATAAAATAATGAATTTCTCTCAAAATACAAATATATCGTAAAGGAACCGGTTAATATGCTTTAGTTTACAGCAGGGCTTGAATAAATCGATAATGATAATTATCGCAATATAATTTTCCTCAATAAAACGATAACAAGAGTTTGATAAAAGTTTGATACAATGTTTATGCACCAAAAGTGGAACGAAACAGCGCTACTCATTTGAAGCATGGCACACGGATCGTTTATCCGCTCGGCTCAAAGTTTAAATGGCAGCATAGCGCGAGCTCACTAGAGCAGATGCATCAGAGATTGTCTTAATATTCAAAAATGTGAAGTGTTTGTCATGTTCTGACCACAAAGAGTAGTTAAAAACCACAATAAATGGTCTGGTTTCTACAGCTTTCACTTGGGAGCAAAAATCTGCCTTTAACTTGAAAGCAATAAAAATGTGACATTTATCGTGATAATTATTAATATCAACTGATATGAAAAAAAATATCATGATAATTTTTTGGCCATATCACCCAGCCCTAGTTTACAGTGTTCATGTTACACATATTACGCATTACTATAGTTATTTACTATACTAATAAAAAAGCTGTAATTACAAGCAGTTTAAAAAATGACACAACAAGTTTTAGTTAATTAGAATTATAATATTAATAAGGTGTTTTTTAATTATTTTTTTTATGAAAAGTATTTTCTTTCTTTGCTTTAGGCTGTATGCAGGGGATGATCCCCTACTTGCCAGAGTTGATTCCTCATTTGGTACAGTGTCTGTCTGATAAGAAGGCGCTGGTTCGATCCATCACTTGCTGGACTCTAAGCCGCTACACACACTGGGTTGTTAGCCAGCCCCCCGATATCTACCTCAAACCGCTCATGACCGAACTGCTAAAACGGATACTCGACAGCAACAAGCGTGTCCAAGAGGCCGCCTGCAGGTGAGCATGCGTCGCACTATTGTGCTGCTTGAAGCTTACGTGTATGCATGTCATCTAGTTTAAAGAACATTTTGTTACCTGAGGTGTCTTTTTAGCTTTTGGCTTTTAACTCTTTTAAGTCTCTGACTCTCACTTTTCGTCCCACAGTGCCTTTGCTACCCTGGAAGAGGAGGCTTGCACTGAGCTGGTTCCATACCTTGCTTATATTTTGGACACGTTGGTTTTTGCTTTTGGTAAATACCAGCACAAGAACCTTCTCATCCTCTATGATGCCATTGGGACTCTGGCTGACTCTGTGGGCCACCATCTCAACAAACCAGTAATTGCACAGTCAAATGCACACAAACACTTTGTGTATCAGGCACATATCTTTATATTACAGTAGAGGTTGTATGTTACATGCAAACACACACTGAACTGCCATACAGCATTCTAGCTGATATTAAACCTCATGGAATCTCACAATATTTATTGTAAAGATAAAAAATAGCTCTGTATCTCACACACACAAATATTTGGTTTGGTAATCAATTTTATTTACAATTACCTATTTGTAATTGATTAAACTAATTGCAAAATAAATAGAGTAACATAATTCTAATTCTAAATCCAACATTCTGCCATGTTGGATTGTTTTTTTGTTTTTTTTTAGTAACTGATTGTGTATGTCTAATAAACACATGTATGTACGTGTGTACAAGATTTTAGTTTTTTTTTTTTTTTTTTTTGAAGGAAGGAAGGAAATTAATACTTTTAGCCAGCAAGGACACTTTAAATCAGCCCAAAGTGACAGTAAACGCTTTTTTACACATTGTTACAAAACATTATATTTTAAAATAAATGCTGTTCTTTTCAACTTTCTGTTCATCAAAGAATTCTGAAAAAATGTATCCACTTGAAAAAAAAAAATCTTATGAAACCCAAACTTTTGAACAATAATATATGTGTGCACAAATAAATAGCAGAGAAAAAAACTATTTCAGCAGAAGTCACAGGAATTATTAATAGTGTTCTGAATCCAGCATGTCAATGTGTGTACCTGATAATGATTTAAAGATCTTCATCATCATTCTCTGTTCAATCCTCTTTCAGTGTCTCTCATCTGTGGCCACCGCCCTGCAGAGCGGCTTCCTGCCATACTGTGAACCTGTCTACCAACGCTGTGTCAACCTGGTCCAGAAAACACTCGCCCAGGCCGTGGTGAGAAGCCACACAATTACACACACACACCCTCATCTCTCTGTAATACTGTCAGAAAATACTTAAAAAATAAAAATAAAAAAAAATACCAGAGTGTAAAAAATGTTGCAAAATGAGAATCACTTTAGAATCAAAACAAAGATGGTTTTATCCATCATAGTGAATATCACATGATCTCTTTCTCTCTATCACAGCTCCACCAGACTCAGCCTGAGTTTTATGAAGCTCCTGATAAAGATTTCATGATTGTGGCTCTGGATCTGCTCAGCGGGTTAGCAGAGGGTCTTGGAGGGAACATTGAACAGCTAGTTGCCCGTAGCAACATTCTCACTCTCATGTACCAGTGCATGCAGGTAACTATAGTGCATAGGCATGACATGGTTATAGCACCAAGGCATGACATATTTAACCCAATATAATAAAAAAATATATATATTTTAATATAATCTATTTAATATTTTAATGTAATAAATTCCTGAATTTTCAGAAGCCATTACTTTTAGTCTTCAGTGTCACATGATCCTTCAGAAATCATTTTAATATGCTGATTTGCTGCTCAAGAAACATTTCCTATTATTATCAGTGTTGAAAACACTTTTGGGTCTGTATCATTGTATGTTTGTGTCAATGAATGCCACAGTGAGTACTAGCGGCAGCTGTTTGCCACTGTATCTAGGTAACGACTGAGATGGAGAAGACAACATTTTCTCTGTATAAATGTATTTGTCCCTCTGGACTTACCATTTAATCTTTACATGCACAGAACCACATTTGCATTTGCCTTCTGCAGATGAATTGCGAGAGATGCAAATAATGCAAACCCCGAAAACAATTTATTTGTGGACAAGCAGCTGTGAGAAATGTAATGCGACAGTGCTAATCTTTTGATGATTGTATTCTCTCAGGATAAAATGCCAGAGGTTCGGCAGAGTTCTTTTGCTCTGTTGGGAGATCTGACCAAAGCCTGCTTCCAGCATGTTAAACCTTGCATCGGTATGCAGTAAAACATACTCGCTGACACTTTCTCAGTTCGATCCATCTCTGTTGACCTTCAGGCACTTAAACTTTTGTTTGTTTGTTTGTGCTAATCTCTCCTCTCTAGCTAACCTCATGCCTATCCTAGGCACAAACTTGAACCCAGAGTTGATATCAGTCTGCAACAATGCAACATGGGCCATTGGAGAAATATCCATTCAAATGGGTGGGAGTTTCCTCCTCATCTTCAGTTAGTAATTTCACTCATTTCATCATACCGTCTAGGTTAACATGCTACTTATCTCTCTGCTCAGGTTCTGAGATGCAGCCGTATGTACCGATGGTTTTACAGCAGCTTGTGGAGATCATAAACAGACCCAACACACCCAAGACACTTCTGGAGAATACAGGTACCATCTGAGGGGTGCTAGACCAGGCTGACCCCTCACAAGAGGTTTCCACCCTATCCTTTTCCCAAACTCTCCCGATCCCCATTCCGCAGTGCTTATTAATCTCCATTCAAACTCCAGGAAGTGGACCTTACAAGGTTTGATAAAGGTTTTAGGATACTTGTGCACAGTATTCTGGGTAGCTGGGTAATGAATAAGAGTAGGGGCAATTTTATGCTCAATTTTCTATATACAAAGCCAGTTCCCTCAGCATATCCTGTCTTTAAATATGAATATAACAGACCTTGTAACAGTCCAGCCATGGTACTGACTGAAGTGGATTAATAAAACAGTGAGTTCCATGTTAGCGAGTTGTTCACCGTAATGAGGTTACAAGCATCAGTCAGTGAGATATTATAAACAATGCCGAATGTAAACCAACCTTGAGAGGAATATTAAGACCTGATGTCTTTGATTTGAACATTTTTACTTGAAGATTTGAACCTTAAATAGTCATTTTTTTCCATTTAATTCAGACAAAGTCTAAACTCAGATCTAAATCTGTTTTGTGGTGTTTAGATGAATGTATAGCACCTGTACCTCGCAAATTATTTCCCAGTTACACTCCACTCTGATTGGACTGCTCAAATTAAAGCTCTTGCCTGAGCCGTAATGGCTGCCGACATTGATTTTTTTTTATTTTATTTTTTTTAAATGAGGGTGAAGTGTAATGCTCATAACATACTCCCACAGAAACAAGGGTACTTGTAGATGTGTTCCTGTTTGTCGATTTATTTCTGTTGTTTTATTTACTTTACTTTTTCAATGTGAATGCATATCTGCCAATAGATGTTGAATGTTGTTTAGTTAAGGACGGCTAACGTTTGATGCAGGATTGCTGATGTCTTGATTATTCATGTTGCAAAGACTATGTCCTTTTAAAATTTAGAAGCAAGCATGTAGCATAGGCAAATCCATACTGACCATTTTAAGTCAGTTTTAAGTTGGAGTCTATTAACACACTACTGTTCAAAAGATTGAGTTGAGTAAGTTAATAAATTGAGTAAGTATTGGGTTAAGTATTAAGTAAATTAATACTTTTATTCAGCAAGAATATATTAAATTGAGCAAATGTAACAGTAAAGACTTTTTTTTACACCTAAGAATGTAAATATGTATCACGTTTCCACAAAAATATTAAGCACCACATAAGTTTTCAACATTGATGATGATAATAAGACCTATTTCTTGAGCACCAAATCAACATACTGATTTAGGAGTAATGGCTGCTAAAAAAAGCTTTGCCATCACAGAAATAAATTACATTTTAAAATAGAAAACTGTATTGTAATCATGTTTAACGATATTACTGTTTTGTACTGTATTTTTGATCAAATAAAGCACAAGAAACTTCTTACAAAAACATGAAAATATCTTACACACCTCAAACATTTGAACAGTAGTGTATTTCTTCTTTATGGTGCAGGTTTTACATCATTAATGTTATGATGTTGAGTTTGTTCAATTTGTGAGTATTTGATAATCTATTTAATTGCTAATTAATATAACAATGGTGAACAGTGCTTAACTGTGTTTCAGACTCTTTGAATCAGCTCATCCTGCACTGAACTGCGTTCTCTAATGAGCCAATCATCTGCTTTCTGCATGTCTCATTGGACTGTTCATAAATGCCTGTCTTTAATGAGAATGTTGCATAGTTTTGTGTCTCTTAAACTTAGGTCTCCCTCCTCTGTGCCTCTTAAGATCCCGGTGGAATCTAGTCCTCTCCATGTAGTTCGCTTGGCGTAATATGCATTTTTTAATGAAACAAAAGAGACCGAAAGAAAGACAAGACTTTTCTGTTCTACTGAAGAAATTTTTGTGAGTTTAAGGGAGAAAATCTTAGAAAACAAGATTGTTTTCTGTAGTCTTCAATCTGTAATACAGGGATTTGGGGGAATATTCATATTATGGTCGCATACAAACGCTAAATGAATTTGGCAGACGCTTGAAACAGAACATGAACTTTTCTCTGTAACTCGGAGCCGTGTTTTCTAAGACTCCTCCCTTAAACGAGATCTATGTTTTTTTTAGTGTCATATTTTACATTTGACCCTGTAGTCTGGGGCTGTGAAGAGCACTAGTGAAATCTTGTGTTTATTCTCATACACAGATTCTGTCGAGTTCTGTTTCTGAGTTGTCTGTCTGTCTGTTTGTTTGTTTGTTTCTTTTTGTTTTCTCCTCCCCCCTCATTCGCTCATGTCTTGGTTGGCGTTTGGTGCTGTATAACCGTGATTGCGTTACCTTAGCAATAACAATTGGTCGTCTTGGTTACGTTTGTCCTCAAGAGGTGGCACCCATGCTACAGCAGTTTATAAGACCCTGGTGTGTATTATTCAATCTTTTATTTCATTCATTTCCTCTTTCTGTCTATCTTCTGGCTTTTCTCCCTGTGGTTTTCTTTCTTTCTTTCTTTCTTTCTTTCTCTCACTCGCTCCGTCTCTCTCCAAACCTTGTCCCAGTGTTCTTGAAAAGGCTCCTGCTTTTCTTCACACCTCACGCTAGTATAGAAACATCCAGAATTTTGTAAACAAAGCATAAATTCCACTAGCATAATTTAGATTTTCTTGTGAAAAAGACAAGGCCTGTTCAAGACATTTAAGAGAAGGTATCCCTCTCTTTCGCTCTACCTTTCTCTCTGTTCTGTATGATTCAGTCTAAATCATTGCCAACCATGTGACTAACCCTGTCCCTCTAGGTCTTGTCGTTTAATTTGCCTCAGTAGCACCTTCATGTATTCTCAATTGATTTATTTCAGTTTTCACTTCTGTTTTCGTCTTTTATTGTCGCTATCTAACTACTAATTGAGTGCATGGGGTAATATCAAATGCTTGCTGGTTTCAGGAAACGGAAGCGCTAGTTAAATGGATAAAATGAAGAGAAATGGAAAAGCTTCTTTGAAAAGCATTTCTCCTCCCCATTAGATGTGGAGTCTTTTAGCAGCATGATTCTATCCCAGAATGCCTGCCCCAAAATTTGCACTAGTTTAACGCTATAAACTAGTACATGACAGAATACATGGTGCTATATAGACATTGTATTTGTCTACTAAAGAATTCATGTAAGTAGATTGATTTACTCCAAAAAGCAGCTAAAGATCTTTATAAACATTCATAATTACTAAAGAAGGTAGATTGCATATGATTAAGAACCAATAATATTAACAATATAAAAATAAAAAAAAACGATTAGTATGGGATTGTCAGACAAACTGACAACAAACTGAACTACTTTTCGGTTTCAACAAGAGAATGTTTTATTTATAAAAAAGAGACAAATTTGTGTTTCTCCATTGACCAATCTCTGTGATTTAAAACGTTTGCTAGTCTCAAGGTGCTCTGAGGTGGTAGTCATGATATTGTGTTGATTATGTGTTTATCCACATGCAAACTAACCGCACAGGCTTGTTATTTGAAAACTGGTTCTTCCCTTCACTAGGTGCACCTCTCTGCGCAATATAAGAGACAATGAAGAAAAAGACTCTGCGTTCAGAGGAATCTGCACCATGATCACGGTCAACCCTGGTGGTGTGGTGCAGGTAAAAACAGTAATATTGTGAAATATTATTGCAATTTCTAATATTGGTTTCCTGTTTTAATATACTTTAAAATATAATTTGTTTCTGTGAGGCAGCACTAAATTTTCAGCATCATTACTCCAGTCTTCAGTGTCACATGATCCTTCAGAAATCATTCTAATATGCTGATTTATTAGAAGTGTTGAAACCGTTGTGCTGCTTAATATTTTTTGGAACCTGTGATACTTTTTTTCTTTGATGAATAAAAAGTTAAAAAGAACGGCATTTATTCAAAATAAAAATCTTTTTTAACAATATAAGTCTTTACCATCACTCTTTATCCATTTAACACATCATTGCTGCTTTCTTTCTTTCTTTCTCTCACTCGCTCCGTCTCTCTCCAAACCTTGTCCCAGTGTTCTTGAAAAGGCTCCTGCTTTTCTTCACACCTCACGCTAGTATAGAAACATCCAGAATTTTGTAAACAAAGCATAAATTCCACTAGCATAATTTAGATTTTCTTGTGAAAAAGACAAGGCCTGTTCAAGACATTTAAGAGAAGGTATCCCTCTCTTTCGCTCTACCTTTCTCTCTGTTCTGTATGATTCAGTCTAAATCATTGCCAACCATGTGACTAACCCTGTCCCTCTAGGTCTTGTCGTTTAATTTGCCTCAGTAGCACCTTCATGTATTCTCAATTGATTTATTTCAGTTTTCACTTCTGTTTTCGTCTTTTATTGTCGCTATCTAACTACTAATTGAGTGCATGGGGTAATATCAAATGCTTGCTGGTTTCAGGAAACGGAAGCGCTAGTTAAATGGATAAAATGAAGAGAAATGGAAAAGCTTCTTTGAAAAGCATTTCTCCTCCCCATTAGATGTGGAGTCTTTTAGCAGCATGATTCTATCCCAGAATGCCTGCCCCAAAATTTGCACTAGTTTAACGCTATAAACTAGTACATGACAGAATACATGGTGAATTTCTAATATTGGTTTCCTGTTTTAATATACTTTAAAATATAATTTGTTTCTGTGAGGCAGCACTAAATTTTCAGCATCATTACTCCAGTCTTCAGTGTCACATGATCCTTCAGAAATCATTCTAATATGCTGATTTATTAGAAGTGTTGAAACCGTTGTGCTGCTTAATATTTTTTGGAACCTGTGATACTTTTTTTCTTTGATGAATAAAAAGTTAAAAAGAACGGCATTTATTCAAAATAAAAATCTTTTTTAACAATATAAGTCTTTACCATCACTCTTTATCCATTAAATTTTTATTTTGAATAAACACTGTTCTTTTTATTTATCAAAGAATCCTGAAAAAAGTATCTCAGGTCCCGAAATTTTTTAGCAGCACAACTGTCTCCAACTTTGATTATAAATCAGAATATTAGAATATTTTCTGAAGGATCATGTGACACTGAAGACTGGAGTAATGATGCTGAAAATTCAGCTTTGCTTCACAGGAATAAATTATATTTTAAGGTATACTAAAATAAAAAATTGCAATAATTTTTAACAAAATTAAAAAAAATTCTGTATTTTTGATCAAATAGATACAGCCTTGATAAAAAACTGATTTAAGAAACATTCAAAATCTTACTGATCCCAAACTTTTGAACGGCAGTGTATTTACTAATGATACTGTACATGTAAAATCATTCTAATCTGATCTCTTTCTCTCTTGTTCTGCAGCTTATTAACTACGGGAGAGGATGGGAACCTCTGATACCCAGGGCATATATTGCCCTTTACCTGGGGGGAAGGGTGGTCTAGCAGGGGTGGGAGCCATTCGGCCCACTGGACCCCTGCAGACGGGGTGGGAGGGAAGTGTTAGCTGAGGCGCTAGTCGAAGACACCTCGCCAAGCCAAACCAAAATAGGGAAGAAAGCTTTTTCATCATGTCATAACAATCAGCCATGAGGGCAAAAAACTAAATACATCGTTAGCTTTCATTCACCAGGGCACTTAATGTAACGGGACATCCAGGGGTTAAAAAAAAACAGTGACACGAAGATATGTGTAAACTCTGTAGTGTTGCACTCCTGACGTAGGAAAGTGCCTGGAGACAAGCTCTGAAAGCTTCTAAAAAACAGGTTTTGTTTATTTTCTGGACTGTATCATTTAGAGGGGTGGGTGTGACGTAAATCTCAACTTGGACGCAAAGCGTAAGTCCTATGCATGGGGTGATGTAGGGTATAGCTCGACTGCATGAAAGTGTGCAGACCGTGTTTTGTGTGCCAGTTATGCACAGCAGTAGACGGTAAACATTTAAAGACAGTAAATGCTAAAAACGTACCATATTTTAGGGGCTCCGTCTAAAAGGTAACACAGCGTAACTCTAGAAATGTAAGTCCTCTCATATCATTGATAGTGAAGGGTTTTCATCTGCAAAGATGAAGGAATAAAAACCCGAATGACTGCATAATTTAATTTTTTACATTTTTTCTAAATTCATCTTGGTAAATTAAGTTAGCATGCACAAAGCGAGAGGGAAGACTCCATATTAACACAGTGAAGATATCTGAAACATCTGAATGTCTGATTGCTCTGTAGGAGGCTTTAATGTTCCTCAGTCTCACTTTCTGATTTCCAGCGTGCTTGACATGGATCCAAACGAGTGAACCCTAAACACACATTTTGTTCGTTTTTGAGACCTCTGCAATTTCTTTTTGCTTCGTTTGCTCAGAGCATGATTTTGAAGATGCTTGTGATATCTTTTTTGACTGATCGGGTTAATCTGGATGTTTAGTTGTTTGATTTTGTGCATGTTGGTGGCCCAATGAGCAATCTGTTTTTCTAGCACCCCTCATACAGACTAGTTTTAATAATGCATTTTTTCCACACATACATAATAGGTGACGTGTTTTCCATCCACGTATTGCTTTTGTGACTTGTTTTATTTAGTTTCGTTTCCTCCTGCATGAACGTCTCATGTTGTGTTGTGTATATTCCTGGACGGTTCAGTGCTCGTGGAGGCAGTATTTGTGTCCCTCATGTGAATAGTAGCAAGCCTTAAAATGCCTGAATGTATCCCAGAGTGTGAAGATTTAGGTATTAAAAACTTTGCGCTTCAAAGTTGCTATCTCAGACAGACAAGACTGATGTTCATACTCATCTGGAAGCCAGTGAAATGGTTCTTTCAAGTGTAAGTTATGGATTCAAACCGAAGCAGCTGAGAGGTCAAACCTTCAAGGCTGTAAGAAGATTTTGAAATCTGAACACCACGGGATACTGTCAGGTGTTTGTGAGTCTGTGTTGTGCTGGTGTATTTCTGCAAAGTGTTTTTAGTTTCTTCAGTTTGTCTGTCACATTCCAGCTGTTTTACATTTGTAACCAATAAGAGAGGTCGGAGATTCTTCTGACTGAAAAATAAATGTAAAGAAATTTTTTTTTCTTTAAGACCGAGAAATATGTAGGCTACCTGTTACACAATTAATTTTTTTTAAATGATACTTAGTTTCCAAGAACAGTAGCTCATTACACTTTGGTCTTTCAATAACATCTCTTATATAATAATATCAACCGAGGTTTTTTTTTTTTTTATCAACTGAGCTATTAAGGAACTGAGTTGTACAGTGGGACAAGTATATTAGACGAGCATCATGGGAATTGTGGCAATTCCTGAAACCGCCACTGGCGTCACTGTTTCTTCATAATAATTACCTTCATGAAGTACTGAACAAGTGGAGGGAGTGAAAAGCAAGTGAGGAGGTGGAGTCGTGTTCAGAGAGGGAGGAAAAGCCAGCAGAAGAGCAGGAAAAAAGAAAAACCACCAGACACAACAACATCGGGGGGAGGACGGTGGATTAACTGCCAACTGAAGCAATTCAAATTAAGAGAAGCGCCGCTGTGAAGAAGGGAGGACAGCAAGATGATAACGCCCTATTTCCTGGAAAATTTCTGGGTAGGTTGCTTATGCTTTGCTCTTTTTTGGCTATGCAGGTTAAAGACAACTCGGCTCTACTCGTCTGTCATTCTTTAAATTGGTACGATACGCTCGATTTCTGGGGCTATTCTTCATGTTTTGATTCACGCCGGCCGTTGCTGTGATAATACCGGTAAAACATGGTCGAGGCAAGCACGAGAGCCTACTGGCCTGTTGCCCCCTCACTTTTGTCGGAGAATGCCGTCCAGCTAGACCGGGGATTGGGCCTCATTACATCCATCTGACACGGACAGCCAACTACGTTCCACCTCCGTTCAATCTGATTGGCTGTCGATCAACGTCTTGGAACGTTAATGATCCTATTCTGCAACAACATTGGATGTTACGGCTGTCAATCACAATGCTATCCTGCTGTAGTTCTTCCGTAATGAAGTTAGACCGGAGGCCAGAATGTCTAATAAAGTTGTTTACGTTATATGATTGTATGATTATTCATATGTGAGCCATGTAATAATTACCCCCTTCTCTTCCATAGTATGGTGATCTTTTTCATTTTAATTACTTTGGTTATGGTTTGTACTGTCCTGACTTTACTATAGGCTTTGAGTGCTTAAGCTGTTCACAGTGTGATTTCATATTCCCGTTTGTCGTTTTATTCTCAGTTGTACCTCAAAACATACCTCCTTACTAGACATAGTTGCTTCTTAGAGAGACTTGAAAAATTCTGTCAACACTTATTCACCCTCATGTCGTTCCAAACCGGTGTGACTTCATTTTAATACAAGGCAAATAGTGATGTTAAAGGTATAGTCAGCCAAAAAAGGAGCTTTCTGTCATACTTTACTCATCCTCATGCCATTCCAAACCTATATGACTTTTCATCTGCTTTGGCACATAAATGTCCATACAATGGAAGTCATTGGACACCAAAATGGTTTGGTTACCAGCATTCTTCAAAATATCTTCTTTTGTGTTCAGCAAAAAGTGAGTAACATGATAATGGAATTTTCATTTTCAAGTGCATTATCACTTTAAGTAGAATGAAGGCGTATGCTTTCAGGTGTGTTCATGCACAGTCTATCTTTATTATCGCTTACATTCCAGACATCAGGATTCAAGTCGTTTTTCAAATAATGACTATTTCCTCATTGTACTACAGAAGTTATTGAGGATTTTTGAAGTCATTAGTGTTAATTCATTTAGTGACAGAACAGATAAAGCCTGAAAGTCTTAAAGCATCCCGGAAGATTCCTCTGTTGTCATGTGCAGTATATGACCATAGTTTAACCATTAAACAGCATCTGACTGGCAGAAATGTTGAGCTGAGCCGGGTGAGAAAGTGTGCAGTTGGAAGCCGTGACTGTCAAAACAGGAGATGGGGGGAGAGAGATGAGGGATTGCGGAGCTGTGGAGTCTTGTTCTCAATCAGGTCTTTGTGTTGAGGGCTCAGTGAAACAGGGACGCCTATGATCAGCTGTGTGCTTGTAATGCAGGGCACAGACAGACATACACACATATACCCCTCACACAGAGAGCCACACTTCTTCAAGGAAGCTGTCAAGCTCAAGAAAGTAATGCAGGGAAGGTCAGACTGTCAAAGTAGTCTTGATATTTATCTGCCATGACGTGATCATCTCTTGAAATCAATCTTCTCTGCCCTCCAGTGCCTGACGCCCGCAGGTGTGACAGCTTACCCTAAACCTCCCACAACAAAGGGGTGTTTGAAGGAAACCTCTTAGTCTCGTTTCCTGCAGTCAAACACATCTAACCACAGGTTTCCTCTCTTGCTGTAGCACCATGTGAATATTCTAGAGAGCTTTTGACCTTTGCTGATATTTCACATTCTCCTCTGTTGGTGGATGTTCAGACTTGTTACAGTCAGAAGACACCTGCTTACGGAAATTAATATCTGGTTGAGTCATACTGCAGATGTTCCATTTTAGTTTCTAGGTGTCTATCTTGATGAGAGCTCTTTATGTTTTTAAATGTGTGGTTATGTTAATCATATGTGTAAAATGTCAAAACTGTTATTGATCATATTCACATGCATGTCATTTTCCGACTACATTTACATTTATTCATTTAGCAGACACTTTTATCCAAAGCCACTTACAAATGAGGAGCGCCTTAAGCAATTTGTCATACAGTCAACAGTATTCATGGTATGCAATTACATGCTTGCTTGTTTGTAACAGATTATCAAAAAAAAAAAACAACAACAAAAAAACTTGATTTGATTCTATGCATTGTGCTCAAATGGATGCAATCAATTGTGGAAGAATTGGTGTAAGCAGACTAATGATTGGATAAATCTGGCATAAGTCACCAGAGAGAAGTCTGTCGTTTTCACAGAAGACTAGGATTTGATTAAACATTACAAGGTTAAATAAAAAAAAAAGTTAAATAAAAATAATGTATTTAGAAAACAGACTGGGTGAATTTCCATTTCATGCATTTCAGTTTGCAGGGACAGTTCACCCAAAAATTAAAATTCTGTCATTAATTACTCACCCTCATGTCGTTCCAAACCCGTAAGGCCTTCGTTCATCTTCGGAACACAAATTAAGATATTTTTGATGAAATCCGAGAGCTTTCTGACCCTGCATAGACAGCAACGGAACTGACACGTTCAAGGCCCAGAAACGCAGTAAGGACATCATTAAAATAGTCCATCATGTGACCTTAGTGGTTCAACTGTAATTTTATGAAGCTACAAGAATACTTTTTGTGTGCAAAGAAAATAAAAATAACGACTTAAATCAACAATTTCTTCTCTTCCATGTCAGTCTTCGACGCACGTTCATGAAAGTACCATGACGCATGCGTGTGCATTTCTCTGCTTGCGAAGACTGACACAATAGAGAAGAAATTGTTGATTGAAGTCGTTATTTTTATTTTCTTTGCACACAAAAAGTATTCTTGTAGCTTCATAAAATTAATCACTGGTAAATAAAGGTTGAATCACTGATGTCACATGGACTATTTTAACGATGTCCTTACTATCTTTCTGGGTGGTAGTTGCGTTGCTGTATTTGGGTGAATCAACCATTTAACTGTAGAGTGCTAAAGCTTCTTATTTGTTCTGTCTTGCAGGACAGGACATTGAATGGTTAAAAAAAACATTTTAATATACTCCCTTTTTAACAAATATGTTGTCACTGGACGTCTTTGTCTTTCAGTGCATTTGAATGTGGTGCATTTCTATTGATCCACAATGCTGTGTGTCTGTAGGACAGATGTCCCGAGCACGGAGGCAGATCACCCTGCTTAAACAGGGGGAGTTCAGAAGGTCATGTGAGGGACTCAGAGCTGGGGTGAAAGGGATTCAGCTGAACTTTGACACTGTTGATGTCTAGATGTTTTGCTCTGCTCATTGTTGACATGTGTTTGCTCTCAGAATGGCAGTGTTTTCAGTAGCGGAGGTACTGTAAGTGATTGTAAATGAATTCACTGAAGTTATGTTTGCTTTGTCTGCATTTAGGTTATGAACAGCTATTTACTGATTTGTTTATCTATTGTTTATTTGTTTATTATTGAGTAATCGTCCATGTACAAGGTAATTTTTAACAGGTGCAACTGTGCATTGGATTTATGCTTTGCAAAATTGCTATTATCTGAGACTGATAATTCTTATATTGTTACTTTGCTCCAAAGTATTTGTGAAAGAAGATCTTTATTATATTCGATAATGTTAGATATGATCATTTTTAATATAAGATAAAAGTCATATTATATAATCTATTATAGTATTAAATACTTAAATAATAACAAATTATTTGAGCCTTTAAAAAAACTGTCTCTCTGTTAGGAAGATGATTTTATTTGGCACTGTGAGTGAAGTTGTTTTTTTTCCTAGTCTTCATCACTCAAGATGCATGTAATGCATACTAATGTAATCACAATTCAGATCTCTCTGCTCTGTTGAACTGATTCAAATGAGAAGCCAGACTGTGTCAGCTATGCCAAATTTAGCATGCTTTGTAATGTTTATTAAACCTTCATGGGTTAGGTTCAGCAGATGGCTGTGGACTAAACCATGCATTAAACCAGGCAGTTAACTTTCCCAGACTGTGTGTTGTTATCTCACTTGCAAAAGCAAATACATTTAAAGCTGTGTTTAGGGGACGGAGTGTATTGTAAGGGTAAAGCATGATAGATTGCAGAACTCTGAGATGGTGCCTAAATTTGTGCAAATGATATAAAGAATTACGTATTTTTGGTTTGATTGATTGTTTGTTTTTTGCATTTGCATATGCGCATTTTTTAAGTACCACTGTATTTCTAATAAACAAAAATAAATAAATAAATAAAATAAATAATAAGGGCCATGGAATTTTTAAACGACAACATATTTTGCTAGTAAAATAATACATCTTTGTTGTCTCTGCAGTATCACACAAACTTTACAATGTGTAATATCAGAGAAAATTAATATAATGCATAAGCAAGAAGGAAAAGATATAAATTTAAGTTTTGCAGTGGCCTGATGGGACTACTACCAAAGGAATATTTTGGTTGACATGATGGATTTATATGGAAATACAAAAATAGGGTCCCAGATAGCAGATTTGGAGGATTTGTTATGAATTTCTCCAGGTGAATGTGCTGCTAGACTGAAGTAGAGGAATAAGCAGAAGACCATGCGAGAGTAGATTTATGAAGGTGGATTATTTTTAAAATGTAACAACATTTCCAAGTAGGCATTCTTGATTTGAGCTTCCAGGAAAGGAGAAGTGTGTGTGTGTACGTGTACCTACTTTACCATATTTTTGGGGTCAAATCTGTACCCAGAAGTGAGCTAAATCTGACAAAACCTATTTTGAAGGCGTCCTAATTTATAAAAATTGTGTTTAAGAAAAGAAATGAAAAGAAACAAAACTCTTTTTAAAATTCTGAAAATGCAGAAAGTTTTCTGTTAGGGTTAGGTTTAGGGTGTGGGTTATGTTATTGTATTCATAACTAGCTGTATATAAAAACAGAAGTCAATGGAATGTCCTCATTTGGATAGCTAAGTAAACTGTGTGTGTGTGTGTGTGTGTGTGTGTGTGTGTGTGTGGGTTTGCATTCAGGGTCTTTGCATATAGTCTCTGTATTGGGAACCTCACCCAGTTTGTGAGCCCTGCTGCATGAACAAGCACATTCAACTTAAACACACACATTTGTACCTTCATGTCTTGTCTTGTGTGTTTTGGCTTTAAATATGAATTCTGTTTGGTTTGACCTGAGCCAAATTGTGGTTTAAACCCCCTCACAGAAACACAAGCATACAGGAAGGCATAACACACAACATCAGAGTCAGTGAACATTTTCCTGCGCTCAAATTAGCAACTTCAAACTGCGTGTTTTGTTCCTCAACTGCTGTTTGTCTGGTTTATCGTACTTCTCTGAACTTCTCTTTTGCTAACGTCATGGAATTATAACAGGTCACAGATATTTGACATAGTTTTGGCGATGTCATTATGGGCTATTTGTTTTTCAGAGAGTAAATGTGATCATTGTTTGTACTAGAATATGACATTTTCTGTGACTTTGAAGCAGTTTATGATTGGTTGTCTATTGCTAAACATCCTGCTGTAGCATTCTGGAATGTCATTGTTTTTTACGCTGTTTACATTTCACATTACAAGTGTGAAACGTTGCTTAACCTAATGGTGAAACTAGACTTTACTCATGATTTAAAATGAGTTAAGTGTAAAAGATTGAAAAGGCTGTAAGGGAACAAAATAAAGTGAAATTAAAATGCAGTTGAGAGTTTATTACTACATTGTGTTTAAAGTTTAGGCTCAAAAAAAGTCATGTGAGCTACGTGAACCAATCACAGAACAAACTGGTATTTTGGTGTGCTAGTATTCAATGAGCAGACGGCCAAAGCATTTTCCTGAGTTTGTTGTTGTTTTCCTATTGTATTTTTAAATATCACTGCGTTCCTCGGTCACTTCTGTAGCGCTTGGCTTTCCTGTGGCTGTTCTTTCAACACACATACACACGCAGTCTTACAATCTCACACAGATCTCTGTTGTCTTTGAGCTACAGGAAACACACTGCGTGATATTTGCTGTGTCCACAAAAGCTGATGTGGAAGTTACACAGTATAAACATGAGAGCAGAGCTTCATCCTTCCTTATATTGGTTTATGTTCATGTATTTTTGCATAGGTAGTGATCATATCAATTTAACATGCTTTTCTCTGAAATACCTTTTATAAGTTTTACTACCTTTTACAAGTTTTACTACCTTTTACAAGTTTCGATTGAGTAAAATTCAATTTTTTTTAAACATTAATATTTTTGTATACATTAAATTGTTCAAAAGTGTCAGTAAAGACATTTCTAATGTTACACTAGATTTTTATTTCAAATAGATGCTATTCTTTTGAACTTTAGAATTAATCAAAGAACCCTGAAAAGAAAATGTATTTCAGTTTCATCAAATTATTAAGCAGCACAACCATTTTCAGCATTGATGATAATAATCAATATCAGCAAATCAGCATATTAGAGTGATTTCTGAAGGATCATGTGGCATGTAAGACTGGAGTAATGATGCTGAAAATTCAGCTTTGCCATCACAGGAATAAATTACATTTTACATTATTATTACTACTGTGTTTACTGTCTTTTTAAACAAATAAATGCAGCTTTAGTGAGTGTAAGAGACTTCTTTCAAAAACATTAAAAAAAAAAAATCTCACACTTTTGAATGCTAGTGCATGGCTACAATGATTATGGATAGATGTTTTTTTTTTCTTCTTCTTGTGCTTCTCTTTGAATCACTGGTTGAACTCTTGTTGTGTGCCAGATTTCTGTATTTTCACAGTTGGCTTTTGAGAAATGCTAATAAAATAGCTTACAATTGAGCTTGTTTTGGTTTGGTTCATTAATCTGATGTATTAACTGTAAATGATTTGCTTGGGTAAAAAGCTTTGGAGAGCATATGATTGATTATATCTGTTGTACCATGCTGGCATGGATAACAGCTGTATTTATAGTCAGTAAGAGCAGATGTGCTGAGCAAACACAGCCTTATTATTATTCATATTAATATGAAATGACCGACATGCACTTTAAACTCCAATCACGTTTTTCCCAAAAAAATGACATAGAAGGACCAAGCATTTGTAAATATTTAAAACTAGTTGTATCCATTAGTCGTCAGCCAAAATTTGATGACCGTAAAAAAAAAAACCTGTGGAGGAAGAGGTAACACCCTTGGCACACCATAGTACATGTGTGTGTTTGTATTGCATTTATAAGCACTCTCTCTTCTAATGCATGTACATAAAGCAGATGTCTATATGCATGCCTGGCATTAAAATATGTGTGTTTCTGTCATTCTAAAATTAGAGGAGATGTCAGGCTTCTTTTCAGATCTGAATTATGCATTAGTTTAGTGCTTGCATTTTTAAAACGCTGATATCGGACACTTGTAGCATTGCAACCATGGTTACTATGAAACCCTTTACACAATTCAGACCAAGCTTACAGCACTGACTTACGGGCAAAGATACGAAAGTATGTCGCGGATGAACATGATGGACCAGTCTGCTTTAAGGAGTCAGCTAGATGCCATTCAGGCCATGACAGCAATGATTGTTGAGAAACCAAAAGTGGTAAACAAATGTTTGCACTAGTGATGACGTGCAGTTCAATCCTTGACATGCAATTCTTAACTTCTTGCTGTTTCCCTTTTTTAGGGAAAACATGTAGTGATGTGGCTCAAATGTAGTTTTTAATTAATTTGTATGCTTTCTTTGGCAGGGCGATAAAAACAATGGATTTGATGTACTGTACCACAACATGAAACATGGCCAGATATCCAGCAAGGAGCTATCAGATTTCATCAGAGAAAGGTAAAACATGGAATGTCCCCACAATTCACAAAAACAAACGTGTGTGTGTGTGTTTGTATGTCTGTCTGTCTGTGCGTGTGCGTGTGCCTCTGCGTCTGCGTGTGTGTGTGTTTAGTTGTTGTTGTTCTTGTTGTTTTTAAGGGGATGACGGGAGTTACCTCAGAGTGTTACACTGTATTCATGACAGCCTGTCATAACGCAGACAGTCATCCTTCCTAAAAATTGTATGTTAGCAGTGTTGTTTGTGTTAACTGAAACTTAAATTGTTATTATTTATTGAAATAAAGCTATAGATAAAATATAAATATTACTTGGAAAACTTAAACTTAAAAATAATTAAACAATTTGGCTAACCGTAATAAAATAAGTTTAAGCCGAAGTACTACTAAAACTGTTACTAAAAACCTTATAAAAATTACAAACCGCACAACAAAATTACTAAAATTAAAAAACTTTAAAAGCTGAAAATATAAAATAATTCAGTGTTAATAAAATAAAAGCGTATATAAGTGAAGTATTATGAAATCTGTTGGCCACTAGTTCTGAATCTTTACAAGAAAATATTTTTGTGGACTAAACAGCAGAAACCACATCAAACCTGATCTAATCTCATCACCTGCAAAATGTCAGTAACACTTTTTGAGATCTTCTTGTAATCCAAAAAACATGCACAGTTCTGTCAGATCATTCACCTTTGCAAGCGTTGAAGCTCTGCTAGAAATCTTGCTTTGTCTCACACCATCAAGACATCTGTCAAGGGAGTACAGCTATTCCAGAGGAAACTATTTTAAACTTTTCTCTTAAAACCTTCCAAATGTTTTCAGGAATGTTGCAATTCCTCCATAAGCCTCACCATCCGTCACACATTTCACCTGCTTTAACGGTCAATCAATGCTGTGTTAAACGAATGGAAAGAATTCACTTTGAAAGATTTAAAATGTGCAGAGGTTTTAAACCATCTCATGAGCTCTGTGACTGACAGAGGAATTTAGCAGATTCATAATACCAAGCCATTGGAAATGCTATTTGTGTCATTTTAACAAGTTCTTAGTCTTGATTTATGTTCTTTTGGCAATTGTATTGTGAAATCTTTTTCAGAGGATGATGAGTGGTTTGGCCACAAATGGAGCGTGTCTGTCTCCCCCTTCTGGACACAGCGTGACATTGTCTCTATCAGGGTGAAACAGCGCTCAGGCTAATTTACTATTATAGATCTTTCTCTTTTGACAGAAAAAGAAGACCATAGCAATAGATTTTCAAATGACTCTGGGCAAGTGACCTTAGGGATACACTACCAATCAAATTTTTGGACACCCTTTTTGTTTTTACCCTTTTTCACATTTTAGAATAATAATTAAATCAACCGAACTGTGAAATGACACAAGTGACAATTTGGGGATTACATAGTGACCAAAACACCACGGGCTTCTCTCAGATATCGCAAACGTTTAACTCAGACTTACTCAGACTTTTTAAACGGTACTAAATGGGTTCACATGTTTGCTGAGCTCGTACTGCTTTTCCTTCTGCTTGTTGTAAAAATGTAAAAATCTTTTTAGTTTTGTCAAATTCATGTGAAGGCACAATTACTAAACTAATTTCAAACAAAGGTCTTTGTTTGCCTTATATGTAGATGTTATCAGTGTCATTTGCACAACTTGCATGGAGTAACACCACTTTTCTTTTAAATCATTCTTTTAAATTAATTTTTTCCCCTATTTTTAAAAAAAATGGTTGTTACTGTTGTTTGCAAGTATGTGTAAATGTTTGTGAAAGTAAAATCAAAATGTTGTATAAAGGATTTTTTATTCTAAATAATAATCAGCATTAGATGGCCTGTCATTATTTGGGTTTGATTGATTATTCACATATGGTTTTCTCACCTTTTGTCACAGAGCCACCATAGAGGAGGCGTATTCAAGATCAATGACCAAACTGGCCAAGACCGCCAGCAACTGCTCTCAGCTAGGGTAAGTCTGTATGTCGGGCCCTATGAAATCTGTTTTATTTTTTCCCAAATTATGTTTTTTCCATTTAAATTTTTTCCATTTAAAAGTAATATATATGCTCTGTTTTAATGGTTAAATGAAATTTTATTAATCAAAAAACAGGTCTAATTAATTGAAATCATGAAACATACACAATTTAACTGCACTTTATTAAAAGTTTAACAAAAAAAATTTTTTTTAAAGGCCCTATGGCCCTATTTAAGGCCTTTCTCTAATTCAGTTTTATTATTACCAAATTCTGTGTTTTCCATTAATTTTCTGCATTCCATTTTAATGGTTTCATTAAATTTTAATATTTAAAAGCATCTCTAATTAATTGATTTTATTAAAAAAATGTGTTTTTATTTTTTTATTTTTTTTATTTACATTTTTCTTCTAAATAAATTCTGGTAAATAATTAGACTTTTAATAGTTTTATTAGTAGTAGTAGTATTGTCATTACATTAAGTAATATATTTCTGACACAGTTTCTTCAAGTTAAACCAAACTTTTATTTTGACGGGTTGCTGTGAAGACCTTTGTGTTTCTATAACTATATGATATAACTATAATTATAAACGGTAAAATGCTCATGAAATGACTCTCAAAGCAGTTCTAGCGATTATATTCATGCGTCTGTGCTATTCATTCACACAGAGACATGCAGAACATGCAGGATTCATATTTAAATAGTATTTTGCAGCTAAATATTCACAGACACTAGTATATATATCGTATATAGTATATATATCGCGTTTTGATTTAAGTGTACTGACCTACTTTTGTTTTATTCATCCATGTGCATGTGCACGCGTGAGTCTAAGGGTTCACAAGCCCAGTGGGTTCATTATGAACTTCATTTCAATAATGTATTTATAATGAGCTGGAAAACCCACATCATTTCAACGTCTCTCAGGCTTTATCCATGAAAGCCCAAGCTCATTACATGCTAGGAAACTAAATGAATACCCACAACTGTTCACTTACCTGCCTGGAACATTTTTGAATCTTTATTCTATGTAAACTTTATTCTGGCAAGCTTGCTGTACTTTCCCTGCTATTGTGAGACATATTGGCAGTCAGGCGAAACTTCATAAGCTACTTCAAAAAGATCTGCAGGAAGAAAGCAATTAACTCATTGTTATTGCTATTATGGTCCTGAAATAGCCAAGGTTTGTACAATAACTATTTGCAAAATATGCTAGATGCAGTTGTGTAAGATGAAAGCTGGTATTTTACTGGCCTGCGGTGCTTTATTCCGCAGAACATGAATTTCGCACCCCCCTCACATATCATATTGTCAGTACAGACATTATAGTGTCATTAAACCTTGCACAGAGCCGTTCCATTAAAAACAGCAGGACCAGAGGATAAATCTGATATCGAGAGAATAAACACACCTTGGTGTTAAATCACAAATCATGTTTAACACATTTTCCGTTTTATTTGTACAATGTGTGTGGAGTATTATGCCTAGAGAAGAAAATGAAACGGCCATTTGTTCCACAGGACGTTTGCGCCGGTGTGGGATGTGTTTAAACAGTCCACCGAAAAACTGGCAGCATGTCACATGGAGCTGGTCCGCAAACTTCAAGAGCTCATCAAGGAAGTCCAGAAATATGTGGAGGAACAAGCCAAAAATCATAAGAAGGTATGGGAGCTGCCGTCATCTTTGGTGTTTGATTTATATCCATGTAAGTTTGCTCATAACATGCCGCATAGCGAAGTATGAACCCAATTTCTCAGCGAAATGAGTCTGCGGTACACATGTCGTTCCTTAAAAAAGGTCAGAGGTCTGGTATGTAATCACTGTAAGATAAAACCCATATCCATCTTTCAAAAACAGAGTGAGGAGTATCATATGAAATGGAGATATAATTGCATATTAATAATAATGGTCTGCTGTACTACAGAATGTCCCACTATTAACTGTTCATGGATATGGTCCTCATCCTCCCATTAAAACTTCTAAAAATGAATCTTGTAGTAAGAATAATAATAGTAATAGTACTAATTTGACATTTGTTATTTTGTCAATTTGTTGTCAAAAGAAGGTTATCTTGAGTTTTGTTTTTTGAGAAAACGAAACAAAAATTATTAATGGTGGTAGTAGTAATCTTTAGGTGATATTATTATTATTTATTCATTAATTATTATTGCTTATTTAATTATTCAGCCACATGAATGGAGAGAAATATATATTTCTTTAAGGTCATTTTGATTTATATTAATAATCAATATGATTTATATTAGTAATTAAATAATTAATTCTAATAAGATCCCAGGCTTGCTTGTTTTTCAGTTTATTTTTCTGCACAGCTACAGAAGAAGGGATGAAAAAGAAAAAAAGTCAAGTCTCTTGAGTGAACATGTTTTTGTGCATGTGCAGAGAAACAGTGTTTGATATCTTGCAGTTACAGCAGAACCTCATTTTAAACGCATCAAAGAACATCAGCCAGGTGCTGTCATTAAACAGAAAACAGATTTGAATGTGCTTCTCTGTGTGTCAGGTGGTGAGGGGTCTTGGGGTGACAAGACATGCCAGCTGGGTTTATCTTCTCAGTATTTTTTCATCTCACGTTTTTTGTTTTGCTCTGTAAACTTATGCATATTTGCACATATTAAATATGTGTACAAGTTGCACAAACAGAAACCTAATGGCTCTTTTCCAGTCATGGCCTGATTTCTTCAGTGTGTTTCATACTTCATATTTAATTCAGCATCTGTTGGTACTTTGTTAAATCAATTTTGAAATATCTGCAAATGTAATTTGACATTTTAAGCTCTCTGCTGATCCATTTCAGTTTATTTAAATGATGTAGACTTTCTTAAATATCCAAGTTTATAATCATTGTGAAATTGAATGGTAAATTTACTGTAAATCATAACCAGTCAAAAATTTGGGCTCATTAAGATTTTTTATCAAAAATACAATAAAAACACTAATACTGTGAAATATTATTTCAATTTAAAATAACTTTTTAATATATTTTAAAATATAATTTATTCCTGTGATTCAAAGCTGAATTTTCAGCATCATTATTCCAGTCTTCCGCAAGGACAAATTAAATTGATAAAAAGTGACAAAGACATAATGTTACAAAAGATTTCACATAAATGATGCTATTTTGAGCTTTCTAAGAATCCTGAAAAATAAAATGTATCATGGTTTTCACAAAAATATGACAGAAAAAAATTTCAATATTGATAATAATAAGAACCATTATTAATGATTAAGCACCAATAATTATTGATCATAACAGAGCAGCAAATCAGCATATTAGAATAATTTCTGAAGGATCATGTGTCACTGAGGACTGGAGTAATGATGCTGAAAATTCTGCTTTGATCAAAGCAATTAAATTACATTTGAAAATATATTTATGTAGAAAACAGCTATTTTAAATTGAAATAATATTTCTCAATATTACTATTACTGCAGCTTTGGTGAGCAGAAGAGACTGGTTTCAAAAACATTTGACCGGTTATGGGTCGTATATATGGGCATTAAAAAATTTTTTTTAATGTATAAAATGAAGAAAATTAAGCCTGCTTTAGCTTAGTGACAGTAATTTAATGACACTTTTCACCTGGCAGCATAAATTAAAGGCTGTACTAATAATACAACCATGATTTTTAAATATATTTGAGATAGCCCAGAATGTACAACAGTTACCGGTTGAATGAGTGGCAGCCTCAACCTTGAAGTTAGTTCATAGAGTGTATTGTGTAATATAAATTCTATAAATTCAAGGCTTGTGGACAAGCGAGACAATTAGGACTGTGCACATTACATTTTTTAAAGATGAGAATAATACTAAAGCTCTTTCTGGTTTCTCTGGTTTGTAGACAAAGGAGGAGGTGGCGTCCACGCTGGAGGCTGTGCAGAACATCCAGAGTGTGTCACAGGCCTTACAGAAGAGCAAAGAGAACTATATCAACAAGACACTAGAGCAAGAACGCATGCGCAAAGAGGGGGCCACACAGAGAGACCTGGACAAGGTACACTCAGACTTATACATACATGAATGGTAGCCCAGAAGTTTTGCATCCGAGTACTACTGAATAATACTTGAAAGTTTGCAGGATTATTCCATGTAGGAATCTCCCTTCATCCACTGAGTTAAGCTGTGCTAGATGTTAGAGGCACTTCAGCAGATACAAAGGAAATTTCAAAACACATTCTCTAAGGTGTCTAAATATGAAGAGTTCAGATGCAAAAGCCTCTAAAGTACGTCTGATGTTTTTCTTTAGAATTAGCATTTCTTTCTGTGTATAGGTTTCTATGTAGGTACTGGTACTTCTGAATGGGTTGAGGCTGGGATTTAGCGCATTTGAAGTGAAAGTACTTGATGAACATACTATGTGTGGAGAGCATTTACTCAGCATCGTTATCTCATTTTTGACCAAGATGGCTTTTAGAGGCTTTTGCATTGGAACTCTTCATATGTAAATTTCTCTCTGTCTGTTTTGTGTTGTTTGTTTGCAGGCTGGACTGAAGGTCAAGAAAGCCACAGAGACCTACAAGTCATATGTGGAGAAATATGCCAATGCAAAGACAGAATTTGAGCAAAGAATGACAGAAACCGCACAGGTACGACTGTGTGAAGTGTGCATGAGTGTGTTTGTTGAGGTGGCTAATTGTCTCTGCAGGGTGTGTGTGTGTGTGTGTGTGATGCGTATTTGTATGTTGTTGAGTTATTAGAGCTTTTATCATATCAATTAGAGCTTGATATGGATTAACAATATTAATATCAGACACACTAAATTAATATGACATTAAATATAGTAATTATTTATATATAAAATATATACACAATTATTTTTCCATTTTTAAAAATTACTTTTTTTTCATCTCTGCATTATTTTGTGGTACATTATCTTTGTTTTTTTATCTCATCACACTGAAGACTGTAAGCTCACAACTTAATATATAATTTCTAAATATAGTGTCTTTTGCCTTTGGGGTTTTAAATTCAGTAGCTTTGTGCAGGAAACACTCTTACCCATCCCGCACACTTATTTTTCAGTCCCAAATCAGAGCCACGGAGTCCTCAAACATACAAAAGCTTAAGCTTTTCATTGATGTTTCTTTACATGATCCACACACACATGCACAAACACGTTTTTTCCCCTGTGGTCACACATGCTCTGACTTATACTGTCATTATCTTGTTTCCGCTCATTTCCTCATCTTTTTCTCCTCTTCCACTTAAATCTTCTAAAACCCTACTGTCAGTCTGAGAGGAGCATAAACAGCAAATCAGGCATGCATCCATCCTTGACACACACACATCCCACGTACACACATGCATATTTATTTTCACTGTGTTTGTGCATGTTACGTGCTTCTTAGCTAGTCAGACCACCCAAATAGGCTAACCGTAGAGTTGTGCCAACAATATAAGAATGGGTCTTATGTAGAGACACACAGACACAGGATTGTTGTGGAAAAAGATTCTGTCTGATTAAGTATCATTACCAACATCTGCTTTCAGCTTCACTTTTCGAGACTGACTAAAACTAGTATTATCCATTTTTAAACTGCTTTTGCACCATTTCAGAAAGATAAGTCAATTAAAGGTTGTGTGTTTGTGTCTACAGAAATTCCAGGGCATTGAAGAGGAGCATGTACTGCGTATGCAGGAGATTATCCATTCATACTGTCAGTCTGTTGAAGAGACACACATACAGATAGGAGAGGTAAGCAAAGAAATACACACACATAGTCCTTATCCAGTAATCTCAAAACAACTGAAATAGTAATGAAATTCAATGCTGAAAAGGTCTGGCAACACTGAATTAAGTCTATGAGACCTGGCTGTTGTATCATCGTTTAACTGTAGAGGGCGCCAGAGACCCTTAAATGTATATAAGTCAGATAAGCAGAAATGAACTTCATAACACGAGGCTGTCTAATTAGTCCTTCCTTATCAATCAGCAAACCAAATGCCTCTAATTCAGAGTGATTTATAACATATGCAAACACTTTTATTCACTGAAATACATTTCCGTGAAGGCAACTGAATGTGCATTTCTACACACCCACAGCAAAACCGTCTCTGTTTGGCATTTTACTGGTTATTGACCACAGAACTGTTGCATGCTCTGGTTTGGGCTTCCTCCTAACCACACACACCCTTGTGTTCAGCTTTGAGTCCGTGGAGAAATAAGATTTGAGTTTTTCTGTGGTTATTATGTTTATACTGTTTCTGTTGCATGCTTAAGAGTTGAATCTACTTTCAAGTGCAGCATTTGCTCATGCAACAGTTAGTGTCCCTGATCGTCTATACTTGACATTAGTTTTGAGATCTTGATGTAACAACGGGATCTAGAAGTGGAATGGCAGAGCAAGAAAAATGGAATAATGGCATGCATCTTTGAAAGAAGAGATTAGGCCAAATTCAAATTGTCTTTCAAGAAAGTGATGGTATATGCATCTGTGTGGTTAATGGGCAGTGATTTCAAGATCATAAAAAAAGTGTTAAGTTTCCAAATCCCCAGTAAAGTACTACACAACCCTTGAACCCACTACCCTCTCCCATGAAGCACCTTCACTACACTCTTAAGTTACTTACATATTTGTATACTGAATATCTAAATATTTTGCAATAAATTAAGTTATATTATAACATTATAATATTTTTAAGATTTGTTTTATACATGGAATTGGTGTGTGTGTGTGTGTGTATATACAGTATATATATATATAATTTTATTTATTTTTTTTTCAGTTACATAATTTAGTCTAGGATTGTTTTTACCTCATAAAAGAAGTTGGGACACTTACACTTGTCTTTTTTTTAGTGAAGTAAATCATTTCAGACCACTATTATTTTAGTATTGTTAAAATACCATTGTAGATTTGATTTAATATTTTGAATGTTTTCATTTTTTATATTTTCCATTATTTTAGTTTTAAAGTGTTAGTTATTTGTTTTTTTAAATGTCTATTAAGTTTTTTTTTTCAGTTTTTGTTATTTTAGTACATCAAGTTAAACTAAATGAAAATAGTCAATTTAATTTCAGTTAACATTTACTTGGTTTCAAATAATAAATATGTTTTTTTATGGTTTTAGTTGTAAACTATTATAACCCTGTTTCAGAGCTGGTTGGTTTGGGTCATGGCTTCAAAAAAATGTATTGAAGATTTTTTTTACACAGCTTTACATGTCAATCAGCTCCTCTGGTCCACAAACAGGCAAAAAGGACATGGATACTGAATCAAACTGACAAACACTTTATGAAGTGCTGTGTGAAAACACATCAGCTATGAAAGCTAAGCATTGCGTCAGCAGTGGAGATGTGTGGCAGACATATTGCATTTGTCACCATCCCTTGAGGCCTATAAAAACAAAGACAGTCAAAGTGATCACCCGGGGAAATAATGTCACTAGTCACATCCTCATTGCGTGCCCTAGCTCTCAACCCTATCCTTTTCCAAAACCTCAATCTTGCTTGCATGGGATACAGCTCTAGTGCTGGTAATGGGGTGAAACGCTCAGAGTGAAGGCAGTGATCATAACACATAATGTAGCGCCGATGACCATAAGACCAGATTTTAATTCAGTGTCACTTTTGATCATGATTTAATGCATTCCTACTGAGTAAAATAATTCATTTATATCCAAAAAATTCTTACTGAATCTTCTGGAACTTTTGAATGGTACTGTATTTGTGTATATGTATTTTTTCACACACTGCTACAACTGCTGTGCATTGAAGAATAGGAGCACAGCAGTCGATGACGTAGGAGTGTGTGTCAGAAAGATGTTCACATTTAAAATCTTTGGAGCTTGCACGTATGATGTGCAACATAAATATCTCATTATTTAGCATTCCCTTCATGTTATGACCATACTATCAAATGACATAAAGTCTGCTCTGAAGAGTGAGCAGTCTGTGACCTATTTTGCCCGGTCAAGTGAGTTCAGACCCAAATGCTGCCAATTCTGAACAAAGTCTTGGTACAGTTGTACAGTCAGTGTCACTTAGTTTTTCCTGGCCTTTTAAGAGCTTACTGGGCCCCTTTGGTACAATTGGACAAGGAATATTCATACATACAGTCTGTGGTAGAAACCCTTTTAATCTTCCTACTGATGTCAATCTTTGTTTTGTTGAAACACACAAAAAATGTGTGGTCACCATAAGGTTTGATTTGTTAACATAGTTTAATGTAAATCACAGTTAATGTTAACTTTACATGTATTAGTAAATTTTTCTAAATTAAGTTAATTTATCATAAAGTTTATGAATAAGCATGTTACTTTTTAACATGTTAATTTTAACTAAACCAAATGTGTCATATGGTACTTTAAAGGGTAACATAACATAAACCAAATAAATCTAAAATATGTTTTTATGGAACCAAAAAAGATAATTGATGCTTTTCATGCTTTTATGCCCATTATATGTCTACTGCATTAACATACAAATGTACTTTTATTATATACTCTCTGCTGTGTTGTCGCATGAACATACTGAATGAGTGCATGTAATGTTTTTTTATGTTTTATTATTTGTAAGGTCCAAGAAGAGTTTGTGAAAAACATGGAGAACACTTCCGTTGAGAGCCTCATACAGAAACTGGCAGAAAGCAAAGGAACCGGCAAAGAGAGACCAGGTAACACAGCTAAATCTCTCACACACGGCATTAACCTCTGGCACTGAAATACTTTGCTCTTGATATTATTAACAAGACTGGTCATGAGTTCATAACCAACTGACTTAATGATAAAAATAAGCATTAGTCTGCACTGTAAACCCACAAATGGAGTATGTTTGACTTGACTGCTGTAGCACGGTGAAGTTTACACTGGAGGATTTGTGGAGCTCTGACCCTTACAGGGGTTTTCAGCCCTGGTCTCAGCAAGCACTGGCCGTCACATGCTAACGCTAGCGTCACATGCTAAGTGGAATGTCAAGCTTGCCCACCTTTACATAAGCTTAAGCTACTAGAAATTGATAGAGTTTGACACGGCTACACTTCCCCCTGTGCTCTTGCTATTTTTCCTCACTTATTCCTCCGAGATCTTTCGTTTAACCTCCTGATTCTCCCTCCTTTCACAGGGTGGAAGTTTTTTCACATTTCACATAGAGAATATAATTTAGCTTGAAGCTAAAGGGGTGTGGGGTGTAATTAAACCAGTTTAGCCAGCAATTATATTAACACTATAAAATGTTGTACACTAGACACTGGATTTTGCCTTTTTCTTGGCTTGAAAGCTGTATGGCATCTTAAAATATTTGACCTCTCTTAGGGACGTTTCAAAACATTTGCTGTGTTTTTTGAACGTCCTGACACCTTGACATCAGCTTAGCCAATGGCATGAGTTTGAGGTGGGACTATCTTGTTTTTGTTATGTTTTGAAAACAATAATTTTTTCTTGTTTGGTGACGCTAATGGAAAACAGAAATTAATTACACACTTAAGCTATAATATAGTTTTCCCACAACTCTCTATTATATATATATTATATTGTATTATCAATAACAAAAAATGATTACATAGTTACTTATAATTAGTGCTGTCAAACGATTAATCGCATCCAAAATAAAAGTTTTTGTTTACATAGTATATGTGTATGTACTGTGTATATTTATTATGTATGTATAAATACACACACATGCATGTATATATTTAAGAAAAACATGTTACATTTATATATTAAATATTTATATATAATATACATTTTATGAATATAAATATATACATGTAAATATTTTTCAAAATATATGCTGTAGGTGTGTGTCTTTATGTATACATAATAAATATACACATTACACACACATATATTATGTAAACAAAAACTTCGCTATTAATTCGCTATTAATCGTTTGACAGCACTACTTAGAATACAACACAGTTAATATAATTAACACACATTAGCATTTAAGGTTTTTTCATTTAAAAGAACTGTTTTCAGTTTTTCAATTTAATATATTTTATGTCATTTATTAATGTATGTCGTTTATTCTTGAATATTTATTCTTAATTTATTTGCTGAATGGCTGTGTGTCACATTATCCATCAGAAATCTTTCTAATATGCTGATTTGGTGCTCAAGAAATATGTCTTATCATCAATGTTAATAGTTTGGCTTTTGCCAAACTTTTGGTTGCCCTTCATTTGTTTTGACAGCAGAATTAATTGAGACTAAAACTGTTTTGGTCAATAAAACATTCCTTCCCCCATATCAAGCTGTTCATTAGGGATTGCGCCGCTGTCAGAGCAATAACCTGTGTGGCACACTGATGAAATCAGAGCAGCCCTAACCAGTATAGAGAGAGAGAGAGGTTGAACAAACTTTGTACCACGGAAACAATCCCGAAGTGACACGCTGGGCTGTAGGGAGGTTGCAAGAGCAGTTCAGTGATATCCAGCTGGGCTGTGAACTGGCTGCCGGCCAAACACGCAAACTCTCCTTGCTGCACCATCCAAGAGCCCATGCTCAGCATATGCAATTTAAAAAAAAACATCCTCAGTTTTAATGCATGACTGCATGTGCCTCTCATATACAAACACGCATGTGTACGAGCATTCACAAAATCATATATTTACCTAGCTATCTAAATAAACCTTAGACATTGTTGTTGTTGTTGTTTTAATAAATCTAACTATAATTACTAAAGACCAGCAATAATAGAAACTCAACTTGACTGATTTTTTAAAATATATATATATATATATAAAACTGACTTTTGAACTATTTTTCTTTTCGATGACAATCTTAGACTTAGCTAACTTCTGTGGACATTTTCACAGCAATGTTTCCTCAAAGTATTGCTATAAACCCACACACACATAAATACACACATGTGTTCATGTAAACAAAGCAGTCTGTCTGCTTACACAAGTTTAAACAAAACCCAATACCCTTTTCCAGGTTTAGATGGCATTGTTGTGTCTGATGTTTGGATTTGTGTGCATAAATATTGTTAGATGGAGCCTGGAAGTGTTGTCATTTGCACGTCCCTCACCTGACATCACCTAATTTAGATGAAACTTTTTTTTTTTTTTTTGGTCCAGCAGCTGCATGGAAATCTTGGAGATTAATCTCCATTGTCCGGTTTTATAAACCTGTTTAGACACTTGCTGATTTGTTGTAATGAATATGAAATATTACATATTTGTGCATATTCTTTCTAATTTGACTATTATTTGGAGACAAGGTTGATGAAAATTTTAGCTAAATCTGATTTGAAGATCCTCAGAAGGATAAGGTTTGGTTTTGTTTTGTTTTGTTTTGGTTTTGTGCTTTTTGTTTTGTTTTGTTTTGGTTTGGTGTTTTTTTGTTTTGTTTTGTTTCGGTTTGGTTTTTGTTGTTGTTTTGTTTCATTTTCTTTTGCAGTTGTTTTGATTTTGTTTTGTTTAGGTTTTTTATCTAAAAATGCAAAAGGTTTTCTGAAGGTTAGAGTTTGTTTATAAATATTACACAGAATTATTACATAACAGCAAAAACCATAAATGTCTGTGCTATGTCCCTAATAAGACCGTGTGTAGTTCAAATGAATCAAATAATTTGATATATTTAATATGATTTCAATTGAAGTGGGTCTTTCATTTTTGTGTGTGTGTGTGTTTGGGTATGTGTGTAAACTGACAGTATGTGTCATTTAGTTCAGATTGTTTGATCAGAGATGATCTCAAACAAACAAAACAGAGAGCTAAAAGGGTGAAGTGATCTGGTGCAGTAGAGTAGATTGGTCATACTGTATCTACGTCAGTGTGTGTGATGTGTGCCTGTCGTGACTGCTCTGAACAGTGCACATGAGGTCCGCTCGCAGCCACCATTCTCCAGGGAAACTCTATTGAACCGCTCGAGTTAAATATCACACACTTTTGTTTTTTCAGGTCAAGGCATTTTCTGTGCAATGAAAATAGCGCCCCGGGCTCTCTTGCTGAGGTCTGGTGGTAGTAAAATGCTGTCTTTCGTTTTCTTGGACAAGCATTAGCTTTTACGTGCATTAACACAAAAGAAAACACGCTCTAAAGGGCTCTTAGAGCACTGAGGGGCATCTCTCCTCTCTTTACGGCCAGTCACGAAAGCACAGAATTAATATTTATATGCTGCTCAGGGTATTTATTGAGAATCTATAGCCCAAACCAACTGAGGTTAGTAAGATTAAAATTAGATTTCATTTTGAATACTGTTATTTTGCGTTTTACCTGAACTCTGAAATAAAAACTTGGCTGACATGTTGTTAGGTCATGACTGCAAAACCCTAAGAAGCGAAATACAGTGTTTGTTTAAATCCCTTCACCCATGTGTCAGTGTGGAAATGGGTCATGTTGCAAGTGTAAAAGCTTGGAGGTAAATATGCAAAATTGATGAGCAAGAAATGAAGCATGCAGTTTGTTGTATTTTGCAGCAAGTCTGTGTGTTATATTCATATTTTCAGTGTGGGCTAGTGTACAGCATTTGACTGAGTGTTATCAATGCTACACGTCATTGTATTGGATTTGTGTGTATATTTGATTTCTGAGGTTAAAATCAGAAGTGCTTCCAAGCATTTGTGTGTGTGTGTGTGTGTGCATCTATTAGTGTGTGTTGTATGCTGGCTGTGAACTAAATGCTCTGGCTTAAAGGGGAAGTCAGATCGTGCTGATTGTCACCAGACCCTCCGATGACTCTGTAAATTTGCTTGCCAAAAAATCTGACCTACGTGTGCATGCGTGCGTGTGTGTGTGTGTGTCACTGTTTTTGTGGATTTATGTGCATGATTTTATGAAACGCTGTAAAAACAAAACAAAAAAGTTTTAATATTAAATATTACACCATATCATAATTCTTGATTTCTAAATACTGTAACATGACATCCCTTCAATCATTTGTATTTGTTTGTCTGTTGTCATTACAGGGCCCATTGAATTCGAGGAATGTAATGTCTCAATCGCCACAGAAGGTCTGCATTAATTTTTCTCTCCGTTCCCATTTTCGTTTTTTTATAGGAAAAATATAGAATATATAATTTCTGTTTAATATCTCTGATTACATCTCTTTATAACAATTTACTTAGACTTTTAGTTTTATAGCCTTTGTGTTCTGTTAAACAGCATAGTATCTATTTTAGGATGTGTTTCAGTATTTGTCTAGATTTGTGATAATCATTGCATATGTCTGTTTAGGTGCAAAACCCAGAAAAAGGAAAACCTTTACCATACCAGGCCGACGAAAAGATAAAGACACAGATTCCACGTAAGTGTTGACTTTTACTTTAATGTGATCTCACTTGCTCTTTATGCATTTAAAGAATTAAACTATTTCTATCAGTAATTTTAAATTCTCAAACTTACTGTTCTTCATAGTATTTTGTGAAATACTTGTTATAATTTTATTTGACAAAACTTGAGAGAAGGTTGAGAGAAGTAAACTCATTTTTGCTATGGAGAGTTTTTGCAATTTAGAGCAATAATTATTGTGTTTGAGTAATTATAATAAGTTATAGTTGCATAGTAATTTTGCATTTGTGGTAAAATTAAGTATTATTCTCTAATAAACGTTTCTCTGTCTTGAATAGTGAATCGACTGAAGTAGAAGCAGTTGTGAGTATACGCTTTTCTTTTTTTCTATACAATTAATAATTTTGTTTATTATCATTATTATTGAAGAAAATTATTCATATTTTGAATGTTTTAATACAAAGCCAAAGGTATTTTTCTGTCATTTCATAACATGAAACTAATTTCTTCTGATCAAAGTATGCTCTTTCTTGTTATTTTGGAGAAACTCCATTTGAGTCTCACCCACAATGCTCCTTTTGTTCGTCCTTCTTTCAGAACGCTTCCAATGGAGCTCCCCCGGGTTTCTACGGTGCTATAGATCTTCATAACGCCGTGAGTGGTGACCTAATGTTGTTGAAGGATTGTCTATAATTCTTGCAATGTTAAGTAAAGACAACATAGTGTGTATACTTCTTGCGATATTGCTAACAATAGTGTATTTTACCTCAGTCGGACTCTCCTTGTGTTGTGATGTATTGAAGAGTGTAAATAATAGGATTTTTTGTCTGTGGTGTGTTCTGTGTTTTTCTGCAGAATGTGCCTCAGCTGGACGAGGAGGGCTTCTGTATCCGACCAGAAGTCAACGAGAATGATATCCTTACTCCAGATCCATCTCTTCCATTCTCCCCATCCCTCTCTCTCACACACACACACACACTTTCATCTCGGTCACAGAAACATTTTCCTTTATCTCTTTCATCGCCTCTACTCAGTGTAAACTCTGAACACTTTTTTTTTGGCTTGAGAACATAGTGTGATAACTTTCTTTGTTGCACTTTTATCTGAATCGCTGCCAAGTCATTCTTTCCCATCAGATTTTCTTTAGTTTTTTTTCTTTACCAAAGCTATGTCATCGCTCTGTGTGGATTAGAATATGTAAAAAAAAAATGTAAATAAAATACACAATCTGATCTTCGTAACCCATGATACTATAGACAAACTTTCATGCCCCCACAACCATGTTCCTTAACAGTTCTGATCACATGCCAAAGAGAACTCCTTTTATTCATCCAGTGACTCAGAAGATGAGGACGAGCCAAGAAAATTCCACGTCCAGATCAAACCCGTGCAGACAAACAACGGCACACACCAGCACAAAGCCACCATCGACGAGCTGAAGGCCTCCATTGGAAACATCTCGCTCTCGCCCACCCCTGCCGTAAGAGACGCCTCACACCAGCACACACACCAAGTGTAAAGGTCCTCGCATACAGACCTTACATTCATTCACAGAATAATGCAAGCTGGTCTCCCTCTATAAAGAGTGATTGTACACTGTCAGCAAAGAGACTTGTGATTGGTTGATATCATTTGCAGTCATGTTTCTGCTTCCCACACTTCATCTCATCCTCCAAGAACCTCCATTGGCCCAGCAGACACTAGAGGGCACTATTTGATTATGATATTTACAGGCGGTCCATAGAGATGCTTTAAATGCTTTCACCCTTTTTTTCTCCATCCTGATTTGTGAGCCTGAGTGCAGTTGTATTTTGCGTGCGTGTTCGTTATGCACCTGTGGTCATTATAAGGATTTAACTAGCTCATTGAAAATAATATTATGTTGGCCCAAAGGATGTTAGAATTTTATTCATCTCAAGTGTTTGTGTCTGAGTTAGTCACGATGACATAATGGGTGACGTCACACAAAGATGATCTGCTATTCTGTCATTTAATGTTAGAAATGAAGTGTGTGCGTGTGTGTGTGCGCGTGTACAGTTGTGTGGTCAAGCAGTTCCTCCTGCACACACTGTGAGCCTGTGGACCATCTGTGTGTGTGTGTGCTGTTGGTAAACAAACCCATGCAACTTCCTGCCTGAAATCTCACCACAGGAAGCACGGAAGGGACTCTGTTTCTAATGAGTTAGATCACGAAGGTAAACGCGCTCACACACACACACACACACAAAGGCTCATGAATGCAACAGCTGTGTCCGTAAAAGAAAAGTTTAGTTTAATAGTTTTTAGGCGACCAATGTCTTGACATGTTCAGAGCTAGTTGGTTAAAAATAAACGAAACATCCCTGATTCTTGTGAATGGTTTGCAGCTTTCTTCCTTTTCTTTTGAATAAAAGTTATTGATTTTATTCATCGAGGATGCATTAAATTGATCAAAAGTAACAGAAAAGACATTTAATGTTACAAAAGATTTATTTCAGGTAAATGCTGTTATTTTGAACTGTCTATTTATCGAAGAATCCAAATTCTACAAAAATATTATGCATCTATGCACTTTCAACATTAATCATTATAATGAGAAATATCTCTTGAGCGTCAAATCAGCATATTAGAATGATTTCTGAAAGATCATGTGACACTAAAGACTAAAGTGATGGCTGCTAAAAAATTCAGCTTTGCATCACATCACACAAATTAAAATAGAAAATAGAAAAGTTGAAAATGGACATTTTTAAATTGTAACACTTTTTCACAATATTTTTGTTCAAATAAATGCAGCCTTCTTTCAATAAACATTAAAACAAATTGTTTTAATCAAACTTTTGAATGATAGCGTATTGGTATTAGCTGATAAACATTTGCTGTGTTATGGACAGAATAAAAACAAATTGGTTAGGTTAGTTATATCAGTAACATCGTTTGTAACTGTGATTTCTCTTTGTCCAAGATTTCATCTGTCCCACTGCTCAGTTTCACCCTTTTGTGTGTTTTACATTCTCTCTCCGCATCCCTCGCTCTTCGTCTCGTTGTGACACTTTGAAATGACAGAGTGATGTATTTCTGCAATAACACATCCTCACAAGTGCCAGCTTGTGTTTTCAGTGAGCACAGCCGGGGCGACAGTTTACTTTAGACACCTTCGCTGCCGCCTCTGTTTGCTCTGTTTGAGATGGATTAACACACATCTTTTAGAGAGGCTCTTCATCATTCATTTCACCAGGCTTGAGCTTTCTCTCTTGCCCCAAATGTGCTCAGTAATCACTCAGATTAACCTCTGAAATATTTGCACAACTGAAAAACTCACTCGTTCACCAAACTGAACATTTGTCTTCGTGTCTCATATCAGAGTTGTGTTTCCTTTCCTTTCCTTCTCAGTCTCATTTCTTTTCATTGCCCTGTTTGTTTCATTTTTTAGGCGGATATGTTTTATGGTAGTTTTGGTTAAGTCAGGAAATCTAGGTGATGACGAATGCCATGTCATCTGTTGTAGATTATTGGTATTATAGAGCTTTCCATTTCCCCTAGTCTTCTGTTGTCTCTCTTTCCCCTTCATGTGTGCTCTCTCTCTCTTTTTCGTTGGCGGGTGTGTGGCCTGGGTGCTGTAATTGAACCCATTTGCCACTCTCTGCCTATGGGACTAAACCCTGCCTTGCGTGTATGTCTATTTGTATGCATGTGTGTGTTTGTTTGTGTTTCCACAGTTTTTCCTTCACGGTTTACCATTTAGTTACATTTATGGTCCATACGTTGATGTTCTGATGTGTTTCTTTTCATCGAACGCACCAAAAATAAGTGAGATTTCTTTCCATCCACTCTGACAGAGTTTCGGGCAGAGATGCTGCATATGAGTCACTTTAAATACACAATAAACCAAGCCTTCCCATCTTTGTGCATTTGTTGCCGTTTTGCTAGTTGACTCTTGTTGACATTTCTCAGCCTCAAAACAATCCCGGTAGTGAATTTGGTTGGATTCTCTGCCACTCATTTTCTCGTGTTTAGACTGCCTGCAGAATATTGATGCAGAACTTATGGTTTGAATATGTAATCTTAATAGAGCGGTTCTCTGCTCATTCTTCTGTGTGTGTGTGTGTGTGTGTGTGTGTGTGTGTGTGTGTGTGTGTGTGTGTGTGTCGTCCTGTGAGGCCAATATCGATTGAACGAATGTGGGGATGAAGCACTTCATGTCTTCTGCTGTTTTCATAACTCCTCTCTCACTCTCATTAATAAAAGCCTGTTTTCATTTCCAGGTTCATATGAAGAAGAACCAATCCAGTGAGTATTCCTCTTTTTTTTTCATCCTCCCTCCATCCCTCTGTCACTCTGAAGGTTTGGCTCTGGAGAGCGCCTGCCATTTTGACTTCTCTTTTTAGTTTTTCTTGGCCGTGACGTTTCTCGTCAAGCCTCCTTCATCTCGCTCCGGTGACCCCTCCAAAGCCAACTCATCCCATGAGAAAATAAACATCATCTCCCATTTTTTCCTCATCTGAGTAGCACAGCGTTGCCTCCTTAAGCCATGAGCAAGATTAACTGCTTAATTGTGTGTTTATGTTTTTCTATCCATCATAATTTTACATTTTTCCAGTAAATTGTGGCTTAAACGAACACAGATGCATGCCAGAATGTAGTGTTTACACTGCGGTATGTTCTTACATCAAGAGCGACGATTTCAACCTCCCAGGAAAGTTTTACATACTTTAAATCCGTAAGACAGTAATTGAGCTTACAGTAGAAATGTTTTGTTATTCTTGCACTGGAACGGTAAACATTTCTTCAAAGAGCGAATTTACCGCAAACCTCTTGCACGTGCTGAAAATGATAAGTTCTGGCAGATAATTTTATCCCAGAAGTCCTTTAATCCAATAGATGTTATGTTTTATCTGAAATCACACCAAGATGCTATTTCAGGAATCACAAAAGATAGATAGTATCTTTAGTGATAGTGTTTAGTATTATGTTTTAAGGAAACCATGTTTAATTTCTTTTTACAAACTGATTTTATGGCTTATTGGTGTCGAGCCAAAATGTGATTCTGGACCACAAAACCAGTCATAAGGGTCAAATTTTCGAAATTTAGATTTATACATCATCTGAAAGCTGAATAAATAAGCTTTCCATTGATGTATGGTTTGTTAGGATAGGACAATATTTGGCCGAGATACAACTATTTTAAAATCTGGAATCTGAGGGTGCAAAAAATCAAAATATTGAAAAAATCGCCTCTAAATTTGTCCAATGAAGTTCTTAGCAATGCATATTACTAATCAAAAATTAAGTTTTAATATATTTACAGTAGGAAATTTACAAAATATCTTAATGGAACATGATCTTTACTTAATATCCTAATGATTTTTGGCATAATAGAAAAATCAATAATTTTGACCCATACAATGTATTTTTAGCTATTGCTGCAAATATACCCCAAATGACTTATGACTGGTTTTGTGGTCCAGGGTCACAAATGTCCTTTTCAAGTTATGGCATATAACTGATAAATGGCCCAAAAAATGTGATATATTTATTTATTTACTAAACAAAATAGTAACACAAAAAAAATCTGTTGATTTAAAAGCCACAATTGGCTTTAAACATCGTGACATTATATAGATGTTTATTTTGAGATGTATTAAAGAATACATTTAACAGTGTTATTAAATTATTTAGAGTTTTAAAGAATTTGAATGAGCATTGAATGACTGCATAAGGTATTCTAAATAGTAAATCAACTGATACCATAAAAAAATAAATATATACAGATATATTTCTTATGCGGCACCTGGGCAACTTAGAATAAACTAAAGAATATTCAGTACTGAATGTTATTGTAAATGTGGATCTCACACATACTTACTGTAGGAATGACACGACAACAAACATACCCTGCTATAAAACCAAAGTCAGGTGAGTCTGCTGAGCGTACCCACACTCTCTTTTGGTCCGTAGCTGCATTTGTGTTGGTGGGAATGAGGGATTCCGTTGAAGCTGAAAAAATAAAAATAAAAACAAAATGTGCAATCTAAAAAATAAATTATTTGTACCAAAATTACCATTGGTAACTAATTTAATCTGTTGTCTTTTAACACTGTCATTTGTTCTTTGTGTATAATACACTATGTCTTTGGGATTTGATCTCAAATATGTACCATTTAAAATGTACTATGCAGAACATTTATAGCATGTCATTTTAAATGTATGTATTTGATGCTTGACCTGTGATAAATGGGGTTGCAAGAACATGTGTCTCATGTAGTACTCAACTTACTACCAGTTTTAAACCACTTGACATGGCACTTCATGGTCAGAAACACTATCCTTACTCAACCAAATGACTGCTGCAGTTTATTTTCTGGGTTCCCTATTGTTTTTTTTTTTATCTGGCATCCAACAGTAGTTTTTCTCTTAACAATCTAGTATTTAATTTGTTAATGTCCTTTTTACTTCATGAAACGCATGAGTTGCATTTTAAATCAAGGCCTAATGAGCAATGCCCAGTTGTAAGAACTCTTAGTTAAAAAGTTAAGAAAACCCTTACATTTGCAAAGGGATTTCTTTGTTTAATTTAAGGGTTTTCTTTCAACTGCTTCCAGATCATGAAGCCTGAAGAGTTGCCCCATGACTCATTTGTGTGTTTTCTCATTGTTTTTCAGGTGATGAACTGGCACGACCCAAGATACCGCAGACATCCTTTAATGAGTAAGAGAAGCTTTGCTGTTAACCCTGTCACTCTATTTGGAAAACATTGTAACCAGTTATTCACTTGTCATGTTTTTTTTTCTTCAAACAGTAGATTAGCCAATAATGACCTGCTGTCTTTGGATCCATTTGGCCCGACCAGCACCAGCTCCAGCTCCTCTATACCCCACTCATCAGGTAACTCTGTCTGTTGTAATACAGCAAATAGACACCATTTATAATTCCAAATCCGAGGTGTTATATCTTACATAAACTCTACAAAAGAGCATGTAATGTGTATATATATATATGTACTGTATGTGTGTATGTGTGTGTGTGTGTGTGTATATATTACACACACACACACAAGTATTTACAAGTAATATTTATATTTAAAACATGTCTCAGGGTCAGCATCTTAATGACAGAGTTCAGCTTGACAGTCATGGAGTCAGAACGTTCTTCATCGACCACACACACACACACACACACACACACTGTACAGGCAGACAGTCATAAGTCATTCACCCCTCCATCCCCCAGCCTCTGGGAGGCTTGTCTTAGGTCTGACCTCCTTCATTATTGATGATGCTTACAGGCTGGTGAAAGTGTCTGGGCTTTTCCAGTCCACAACAGTCTCCTCTAGAGAGCTTGCTCAGGCTGCTGTTGTCACGGAAACCCTGGTATCCCACAGCGACTTCACTCAGTCTGTCCTCTGCTTTAGTATGAAATCTTTTGTGAATGCCATGGGATTTTTTGTTGTTGTTGTTTGTTTCTTTGTTTCTAATTTGCGGGTTTGTTTATTTTTGTTTTTGTATTTTTTAAATTTTGGAATTACAGAATGGGCTTTTTAAAAATATATCTCAGTTGTTTACGGATACTTGTATTTCTTAAGACAAATTATGGCATTTACACACAAATGTGCACTTGTGTTACAAAAAAAAGCCCCTTGTGTATGCCGTGAGTATAGTATAGTATATGTGCTCCCTCATGCTCTACGCGTCTCCCTCTCCTTAGCTCTTGACCTTGATTGTTGAAATGAAATGTTATTTTCTCATCTGGGAATTAGGAGCTTCCATATCTTAGAGAATGGCGCAGTTGATAGTAGTCTTAACCCAATGTAAATTTTCACAGAATTGACAGTATGTCATATACACAAATTTATTTTTGTGGCTATTAATTTTTTTATAAAAAATGTTTTAGACTTTTTAATTCTATGTTGTAATCCTTTATTTTGGAAAATATATTGTGGGTAAATTCTAGGGTGAATGTTATATTCGTTTGCAAACAAGTGAGCGCTTTTCTTGCTAAGCCACTCAATGCAGTCACTAAAAAAAGCCAACCCGTCATTCAAGCTCTGACCTTAGCTGCGAGGGCCAATCATAATCCAGAGTTAATTGGCACCTTCAGAGGTCAGAGGGCGGAGTTTGGAGTCCCCATGTCACAGACATTGTCAAACATGATCTTGTTATGGGTCTGACCTGGCAAAGGAACAAAAAGAGCAGTGAAGAGGATATAGGACGTGAGTAACATAGCGAGGTATTGCACTTGCATTTTTGCTTTTTTCCCTGCTGTGAGCTATTGTGCTATTTAGGTTTTTTATTTTTTTTTGGCTTTTGATAAGTGTTGTTTCTCTCATGTGTTTTAATTGAGCCTTATTTATATTGATTTCCTTTTATTTTCTCATTCTTTGTATTTGTTCAACGCTTTTTTTTTTCTCAGACCTGGCTTCTCTCTTCTTTGCATCTTTCCCTACATCTCTCCCACTGCAGTTAAATGATGGGGTTTTTGAAGACCCAGGTAATGCTATTGCCCATGCTTGCGGTTTGATCGTCAGAATAAAACTCTTTCCATAACAGACTCTGACCCTAATTGCTCAAAATATGCAAAAATGTGAATGATGATTGGAATGTTTTGCTTGAACTCACCCCTAATATTTCTAAGAGATGTATCTGTGAATATGAGTATTTTCAACAGAGTGATTTTAGGGAAGTTTACATAAATGTAAAAAAAAGTTAATCATTTACTCAATCCCATGGGGAAAAAAAGTCATACAGGTTTGAAGCGACATAAGAGTGAGTACAGAATTTACACATTGACCCATACCTTTTAACAATGTTATGTCATTTTAAATATTTTCAACTAATTTATGTTATAGTGTTTTATTTGTTTTATTGTATGCATTTGTATTAGTTGTGACTGACAGAGGTGCATGAAGTTTAGCTGGTTGTTTGCTTTCGATCACCAGGTTGTCTTGCTATATGTTTTTTTAGGGATCTTTAAAAGTACATATTTCAGTAGGATTCTACAATATTTTGACCATTGTTTTTTTATAATTTCTATTCACACTTATAGTATTGTTTTATTTTAAAAATGTCATTTCTATTTTTATTTTGTTATTTTCTTTTTTCATTTTTATTACTTTTTTTTAAATCATTGTATACTTATGATTTACTTTAAATTGTATATTTTTTATATATTTTGATCATTTTCACTGATACTGCCTCATTTAAAAAGGTCTGTTTTTCCTAGTTTTGGTTTAAAATATGACATTTTTTTATGTAGTTATGTGAAATATAGAGCTGTATTCCATATTCAGATTAGATCTTCTGTGCTTTTTCCAGTTGTTGTTTTTTTAATTTCCTCCATGTAGCCTTTTCAACATGCCTGTCAGTATGTGGTATATTTTTAACAACCGCGCATTACTCTTTTCTCTCTGATGACCCCTGTAACAGAAGTGGATTTACAGTCGGAGCCCACCTCTCCTTCAGCAGTCAGTCTTGAGATTACCGAGGCTCCTGCTTTTCCCCTTCCCTCCAAACTCCCTCCTCCTGCCGGTCTTGCCAAGCCGTGCACTCCGCCGTTCCCTGTTCTCTCCTCTCCTTGGGAGCTCCCTGATGAGGCTGTCGCTCCCCTCCACCCTGGCCCAGCTCGAGCTATGAGTGTGCCTCCAGCTCTGCAGGCTGCTCCTAAGGACTATGCTACCCACAAGCCCCCTCTCAGTGCTCCCGTCACTGGTCCAGACGCATTTTCGTCCTGGGCCCAGAGCCAATGGATTGCTTTTAATGATGCCTTTGTGCCATGTCGTGGACTGTCTCATCAACCAGCAAGGCCTCGGTCAGTGCCCGTTTCTCAACAGTCCAAGCTTTTCTCCAGAGAGCCTGTTGACACATTTGACCGCTTTGGGAGAGAGGAGAGTGCCCCCTCTCTAAAGGAAGCACCAGCTCGACCCATGCAGTATGGTAATATTGAGGAATGAGTGAGAGTTCTAAGCATTTTCAAACACTGTCCCATGGCTACATGACAGTGAGATATGTACTGTGCATTTAACAAACCTAATTTTTTATGTAACTTGTTTTCATTTATTGTAACCGATTTGGTGGATTTGGTTTTTATTTATTTGTTTTTTTCCCCCAGTTAGAATTTTATTTTACATTTTTTGATTGATTGGTGAAAATGTTTATTTTATTTTTGCATTTTCTGCATTAATTATTGATTTAAGTAATACAAATGTAACAAACCTGTAAGCCATCATAGTCATAATTACTGTTTAGTTGGATGCAGTAAGAAAATGTTTGGCCCAAGTTTAGTTTGATTTGTTTTGTTTTATACAGTATACTCAATAACTCAGTAAAGTTACTCAAATTAATATGAAAATCTATTTATTTTTTACATTTTCTGCATTGATTATTGATTTAAATAATGCATTTTTTAGCTGGATGCAGTAAGAAAATGTGGCCTAAGTTTGTTTTGCTTTTTTTTTTTTTTTTTTTTGATTCACCTGCCAAAGCATCTCAATGCAAATATGTCTGCAAATTCGCTCAGAAATATCATATCCAGCATTTTCTAATTCCAAAACAGTATGACTAAGATGGTTTAAAAGGTGCAGATGTTTCTTTTCGTTTCTTTACTTGATTTAGTTTTTTATACTTATTTTCTGTATTCACTTTGTCCATAATTTATCATTTGTTTATATTGTGACGTTGGCCCTTGCATGTGCGTTAGGTATAAACTATAGATTTGACTGTTAGCTTGTTTCTGCAAGACTGTGTGATGTCAAACCTATTGTAGCAACATTTTGAATGTTTTTCAGCATTGTTGGGTTCAATCATGCTCTGAGTGTGCTACTTCCGTATTTTCCCCTTTTTTGCACGTCTTGTGGTTCTAACATTTGTGAACATCTTTTTTTTTTTTGGCACAGTACTACCTCCAAACAGGCCAACCACTCCCCTGGGCACAGCAACCATTGTCCCGCCTCCAAGACCATTATCCCGGCCCAAACTGCCTGCAGGCAAACTGATGGGCATCAATGAGGCTGTGAGTAAAGAAGATATTCCCTGATTCCACCTCACCCAGGCTATAGTATAGGGACTGAACCCGAACTAAATGAAGATTGAATGCAGTGAATTATTAATCAGTTAGTTGTTTTCTGCAGGGCCGACCGTTCAGCCCTCCTAAGATGTCCAACTCCAGCCCTCCTCCCGCTGCTCCTCTGGCTCGTGCCGAGAGCTCCTCCTCTCTCAGCTCCAACACCTCCTTGAGCACCAGCAACACACCAACTGTCGGTGAGTCTTCAGTTTCACACATTAAGATGAACACAAGCTGCCCACACAAAATCTGCATTCACATCATCCGCATTCACAATAAAATAACAATAAAAATCTAATGTATTGGGTTATTTGTTGCGTGTTTTTTTTCCAAAATGTTTTTTTATACTCATGTCCACATCTAAGGAAAGCTAACATGCACAAATAATGCTCTACACGTTTTATTTCATTATATGGTCAACACATCGCTTACCAGATCACTCCATCCTCACCCTTCACTGTTGGGTTGTGCTCTCGGCCTATTTTTCTTTCTCTTTTTGGTTTCCTTCCTTTCATTTTGAATTAAGAGGACGATCTGTTCGTGGGGAAACTGCCCACATTTGAGAAGAGATGTGAGACTCCTGCAGGTACAGTGGAAAGAACCCAGAAGAACATTTTGTTCTAACTTACTAACAAACTCAGAAATGATCATCTGTCCTTGATCAACCAACTGCATTGCCCCATCTGCTAAACCACACCCTATTCCCATTCTGTAACACGCCATTTGATCTGCGGTGGATTTTTCTTGCCTCAAACTAACGTGGATGATCTCTACTCATAAAACTGACTATTGTGCTGCTGTGTTGTATTGTGGCTGATGAGGATGCTTGGCAGAAATTGCTTAAAGATGTCTTTTTAGTTTTACCTGTTGATCTTTCAGTGTTTGTCACTGCGAAGGTCTGAATTGTCTGAACTCAATCACATTCCTCCTACTATTTTTGATTCATACTTAAATGTCTGTTTTTAAATGGTTTTTTTTTTCTCGTCTCTCTTTTTTTCTTTCCTTTTCTCTCATAGGGACCTCTCGTGGGCCCAGTCCAGTGACACTGGCTTCCCAGGATGCATTGCCCATTGCGGTAGCATTCACAGAATCAGTTAATGCCTATTTCAAAGGAGCAGATCCCAGCAAGTGAGTTTCACATCATCTGCCCTGCAAAGACCATACAGACTTCTATGGACATTCTATACTTTTGACATAGAGAGTTGTACAATTGTGATCTCCATGCCTAGAAACATCAAAGAGTAATACAGTTAATACAGTTTTAGAAAATAATTGAAAATGGAACATTTTTATTTTCTGAAATAATTTATGTGAATTGTAATGTATGCTCAGCTCTGAATGTGATATCGGTAAAATGATTTTTAAAAATCCTCACATGTGATTTTAGGTGCATTGTGAAGATCACAGGAGACATGACCTTGTCCTTCCCCAGTGGCATCATTAAGATTTTCACCTCTACTCCGTCTCCTGCTGTACTCGGCTTCAAACTCTCAAACACTAGCAGATTAGAGCAAATCATGCCCAACCAGCAACTACTGCACAGGTGAGTTTGTGTTTCTGCTTGTGTTACACTACCATTGGGTCAGTATTTTTTTATTATTATTATTATTATTATTGTTTGACATTTTTTTGGGAAAGGTAGTAAAAAATTTTAATTCAGCAAGGATGCATTAAATTGACCAAAAGTGATAGTAAAGACATTTTAATGTTACAAGAGATTTATATTTCGAATAAATGTTGTTCTTTTGAACTGAATCCTTATAAAGCATGTATCTCGGTTTCTACAAAAAGCAGCACACCTGTTGATAACTGCCAAAATAAAGACATGTTTCTTAAGCAGCAAATCAGCTATTAGAATGAGTTCTGAAGGATCATGTGACACTGAAGACTAAAGTAATGGCTGCTGAAAATTCAGCTTTGCCATCACAGGAATAAATAAATATTTTTACGGTGTTATTAATCAAATAAATGCAGCCTTGGTGGGCATAAGTGAGAGACTGGCTTGAAATATTTTGTATATTTGTAACAGTCTTTTTATTTTCATCATGATTCGACATAGCATCAAGTGCTCAGGCTAAACTCATGCTGCTCTCACTCACCCACATCCTTTTTGCTGTTGTGCGAGTTCGTGCCAGCAGCTCCCAGGCATGACTAATCAAATCAGGAGGGATTTGTGATTTAATAGTTGAGCTGCTGCAGTAGGGTTAGTTGTTCCATGCTGCTACAATGACACGCAGCAATGAATTATTGAGCTCTTAATAGTGTTTTCTCTCTCTGTGTGTGTGTGTGTGTGTGTGTGTGACTCCAGTGACTCCTCCCAGAGCGACACAAACACTAAAGACTTTTGGCTGAACATGCCTGCACTGACAGCGTACCTCAGGAAGAGCTCTGAGCAGAACCCTGCTGCATCCTATTACAACGTGGACATCTTAAAGTACCAGGTTTGTAGTTTTTCATTCAGTTATCTTTTGGATAGTTCTCTGTTAACCTATGAATTCTTCAAAAAGCATACAAGTAAAGCATGTTAGTACTAGCTGGTCTAGTATACTTGCATGTTTACTGTTGATATTTAGTAGGGGTGGCACGATACCATTTATTCAGAACCGATCCCGATCCGATACCAAAAGTTCTGAGTATCAGACAATACCGATCCGATACCAGCACTTTTTTTTTTTTCTATACCTCAGTGTGTGTTGACCTGATCATCCCTCTTTTGTGTGTTACACACAATCTACTAAATATAGACAACTTCATTATAAAAAAAAAATAACATTAAAAAATATATAATCATAATCTATGAGAAAAATACTATTATAGTGATAATTCAGCAGCAAAAGTTACTCTACAAAAATTATGAGTTCACAAGAATTTTATAAAATCTAAACATTTAGAGAAAAAACATTATTTAGTGAGGGAAAAAATAAAATTAAATAGCTGTAATCTGGTAAAATGTTACACATTGCTCTATGTATTATAATATGCATTCATGAAAAACAAGTAAATATAATTATATATAAATATATGCAATAAATTAAATACATTTCTTTTACATTTATAGCACATTAATGAGGCAGCAACATATGATAGATAAGACAGAACAAGAAAGGCTATTAACAATCTTTCATTGCGCAAAAGTTTTATAACATGAAAGGCTCCAATACAGAGCGGCACAAAGCGCTTATGCGCATCCC